TCTTCTTCCACTCCATCCTCCTCCCCTTCTGCCTCTGTTCCTTCTTTCTCCTCATCTTTTCTTTCCTGTTCCACTTCATCATCCCCCTCTCCCTCTTCTCCTTCTTCCACTCCATCCTCCTCCACCTTCTTAGTCCTCATATTTTCTTCTTCTTCCTGTTCTTCTTCAGATACATCTTCTTCCTTCCCTGCCAATGGTTCTCTTAACTCCTCTTCACCCTCTTTGTCTTTTTCTTTCTCCCTTTCTTTATTTTCTTCTTCATCTTCCTTCTCATCTTCTTCTTCCTCTTCTGCCTCTGTCTCTTTTTCTTCCTCCCCCACTCTATGTTCACCTCCTTCCTCACTCTCATTTCTTCCCTCACTTTTAACCTCTTCCTCCTTTTCTTTTTCAGTGCCTTCCTCTTTTGCATACTTCTCCATATCCTCCTTTTCTCCCTCACTCAGCATTTCTTCTTCCTTAATCAGCCTGCCTTGCTCATCTCCTTGATCTTTTCCATCTTCCTGATTAACATCTTCAATCTCCTCTGCACCCTCATTCTCATTGTCTCTCTCAGCCTGTGACTCCTCTCCTTCATTTTCTTCCTCATTATCATTTTCCTCCTCATCTTTATCTTTTTCTACTGAAACTTCATCTCTACATTTCTCATACTCACTGTCTTCTTCTTCCTCCCCTAGTTTACCTTCACTGTCAATTGTTTCATCTAATTTTTCTTTTTCACTTTCACCCTTTTCACTACCTTCACCCTCCTGCTCTTGATCAGAATCCTCCCCATTCTTAATTTCTAATTGCCCACCTTCATCAGATTTAGCATCAGAGTTTGTTTCTTCCTCATTCTGGCTTTTTAAATCAGTCTCTTCTACACATTCTTTCTCATTGTTTCTAATTTGCATCTCCTCAATCTCACTGTCCTCTTTATCTAAGTCCAAATCTTCCACGTTTTCTACTGTTCTCCTTCCCTTCTGGATGTCTCTGCCTTCATTGTAGTCCTCTCCTTTTTTCCTACGCTTAAGCACATACTTTTCAAGATCGTAACTACTTTCCTCAGTTGAAGACGATGACATAGTTACAGATATTTTAAACCCTATCTTCTCTTTCTTCTCTGCACTACTTTCTTCTCCTTTGACGTGCGTTCTTTCACACTTCTCAGATTTTTCAGCAACATCCTTTATTTTGTTTTGACTTTTTATTGCTTCTCGACTTTCTTGCTTTTGAACGAGATTGTATTTTTCTACAACTAAGGAATCATCAGTCTGGGGGTGATCCCTGGATGCAGAAGGAAGTACCTGTATTTTAAGTGATTGCTTAGATTTAACAGCTTTTGATTTTTTATCGGAAGAATTTGGTTTTTCAGACAGAATTTGATTTTCAGTTGGAAGATTATAAGCTACATCCTCTCTGAAAAATTCAGGATTTTCCACATATTCTTCTTGCTTTTTCACTAATCTGCTTTTGTCCCCAGTCATTTGTTGAACACCCCTCTTCAAAGTACTAACACTTTGTGTATTCTCAAGTTTAGCTTTTGTTGGCTTTTTTTTGGCCACAGACTTTCCTACAAAGGCACTACTCTTTTCTAAATCTTGTCCTGGTGACTCTGAAAGTGAGGACTGTTTTTGTAAAGAGCCAGAGTCTAATTTTGAGGCCTCCTTTGTGAAATCAGAATCCTTGTTTTTCAGCCCACCCTTACCATCTCTTTTCAGTTTCACATTTTTATTGTTCTTCTATTCCACACGAGAAGCAGAAAATTAAAAAGAAAGAAAAAAAAAGCATTAAAGACAAATGACAGCAAAAGAAAAAGGTTAGAAAAGCATCTGAACAAGAAAAGAAACAATTTGTGGAAGGGGATTAAAAGGTAGCATAAAAAGTAGAATATTTCACATGAAATGAATTCACCAGTGCATATATGAGAAGAACGTAACACTCTGTTAATGATTAATGTGCTACTACACCTTTCTCACTAACCCAGCACTGCAAGGGAATGCAGGAAGGACTGTGCATCCAGTACCACATCCCATGAGCCAAAGCAGATGCAATGTATGAGGTTGTTGCAAACAGAAGGAAATAAGTACAGTTCTCTTACACCTTCCTCCACATCCCCCCTGGAAAATCTTCTGATGCACTCACTGCTATGCTCTTTCTAAGAAGTTTGAAAATCTGTTGCCTTTCTGCTTTAAATTTTACACTTATTTAACAAATTTTGCGGAATAATTTTTAAAATCTAAAATAAAATGATAAAGAAATATAACAAAATGCCAAAAAGCTAGGATCACTTTAGGAGTGAAACAAGAAGGTAATACAAAGTATTTTAACTTCATGATTAAAACCAGTAATTTTGCTCCTTTAAATATAATCTATGGTGAATACCTGTCAGTAAAGTTTTTACTTACAGTACGTCCCAAAAGTCAATTGAAATCTTTTTGTACCAACAAACCAGTACAAATGTATGTATATGAAATGTGTATATGATAGTCTCTTGCTCCTTAAACTGGTGAAACATTATATACTCTCATCTCAAACCCCACTGGATATGGGGAGTTCTATGTGCCTGCACAAATTCTGACTTCAGTCAGCTTCTTAGAATTTCATCTTAGAACTGGATATTCAGAAAATTTGCAAGAGGAGGCCTATAAAATTTGCCTGGTTTTTTTGCCTTGCAAAAACAATGAAGTACTAGGATAACACAAGAATTGCAGATTTTTTGAACATCAGTACAAGTATACATGTTTATAATTAGTTACAGTACCTTCTGTTTCTGAAGTGGTGATAATTCTATGGACCAATCACTGGGATTCAATTTCATTGCATGTGTCTGCAAAAATAAGATCTTTATTAAAAAATAAATATAACTAACAGGGAAAGCAGCATCAAAGCCCAGTTCTACTACACAGAGCTATTTCATGAACATTTTCATATTATTGCAGTTAGGTTGAGACAAATCTGTATGATCATTAAACTCTCCTATTTCACTTCCACTTCCTCATTTACTGCTTATAGAGTGGTAACCAGCCTAGATGGTCTGTAGAGGCTGAAAGCCCTTTCTTACAGTCCACAAGCACATTTGAGATCCACCTTCCATCCGCCACAAAGTTGAGGCTACAAATATGACACCTGATCATCGCAACCTTCAACTCAACATCTAGTTTGATACCACAGCCTTGAAAGAATGTGTTCAAAGAAACCTTACACATCAGAAATTTTCCTTGGAATCTCTCTTCTACATAAAGCAAAAACCTAAAAGGCAAGGCAATGTAGAATATTACTAGGTGGGCATGTGTAGTGAGATTTTGGTCATCCTTTCCCATACATTCCAAATGACCAGATAATGTTCTTTGTTAACTGCTTATGGCTTAGTCACCATATTCTTTTTCAACACAGTTCTGGTTTCAGAATTCATATCATCAATGTGACATTAAAGGTTTTCCTCCACCTGTCACACTCATCAATGAGATATATGTTGCCACAGTCTAGAAAAATTGAGGCAACTATGCTGTATCAGGTTATTTGCATTTAGATTTAAGAAGAGCAATCATTTTATTTTGCATTTGGACAAGTTTGCCTGATGGGCTTTTTTTCAAATCTACTGTTTCATTCTGACAAATGTTTTAAAATTGATTCACAATAAGTACAAAACCTAAAAGGAGAAGGAAGTCTAGCTCATAAACTGTGCAATATGTAAATAAGGCCATGCTGTGCATTGTGTCTGAAAACATTTTTTTTCTTGTAAATCAAGTTTTATAACTGTGAAATAAATGGTATGTGCAAACAGACTGTTAAATTAAGTACTTTTAAGTACAAGCAAATAATAATTCCTGTAAAATGTGCAATCCCTCCAGCATAATTGACAACATATTCAGAGCTGAATCCACAGAGAGTTTCCATTCCACCAAAGCCTAAAAAAAGACAAAACCCAACTCTCTTTCCAGTGCACTGCATTAAGGCCTGGACATGTCCTTTCTGCAGAGTAAACAAAATTGTTTTGAAAAAGTGTAGAAGTGATAAGGTGAACATGTTTTTTAAATAAAAGATGCAGGAATAAGCTTGAGGATCACCAAATAATCAAAATGTCTGCATTTCGGTCTTCTCTTTAATATGCTCCACCTGTACTAAACCTCTTCTGGAAACAGGAAAAGACAGCTCTTCTGCTTCATTTCCTGAAATTCTCTCTTGGAAATCATTAGGAAAATCAAGTTCAGATACCATGTGGTATCCAGTATGCTTTTCCTTTTCTTTCTGATTGCCAGAGCTAAAGTGTGGGGAGGGGCTGCATTACTTGGACTGCTTTAATCTCATCCTACAACACTACCTGGGAAATTATAACATATTTCAGCATTGGATAATGATGATATGAAATACATGCCCATTTTACTTTCAGTATTTCTTCATGTCACATAGGACATTCTGGGCTAGTCAGGAGTTCTGTACTAGGACCTGAAACATGATTTAGTTTCTTTGCCTTCCTCTGCATAAAAAATAATTGAATTACAGCTTCATTATTGGAATATATTACCATGTTTAGGATGTCAGTTGTATCTCCAAGGTTTCTGTCAGTACTGTCATCATCTGAATCTTCTTCTGCAGAGACTTCCCCAGGTTTACCCTTTTGATGATCATTTTCTACAATAGGGGGAAATAAATAAATAAACAAATTCCATAGGAAGAAGTAATATATAGCAAACAAAACACCCCACTCTTATAAAATAGAGATTATTTCTAATTTTCTGACATAGAACTGAAGTACTGAGATTCCTCATTCCCCCATCCTAAGACATAGAAGAAACACTTCCATCTCCTTTTCATCAGTATTAACATTAGAGATTAATACTGAAACCAGCAATCTAGACTCAGTGCACTGTAGATCTCTGACCATTTCTGCAGGCTTTCAAAGAATAAATATTACATGTGACATAGATTCTTTTGGATGATCTTTTTAATAACAGTGTAACAACTAGACCAAATTAGCTGCAGTCATGTTATGTACATTGCACATTACCCATGCAATGGATGGAGAGACAGTGAGTTTAACTCCAATGCAGCATCATAAAAATGTTCCTATGTCATTTTCAGGTTCACCTCAAGTCCATCAGGTATAAGACTATTCCATACAGCACAAAACCTGAGGTTTTAGGCCTAGGAAGACTCTAAAGGTAATTCAAATTTCACTGCATTGCTTTCCTAGAATGAGAAATGCTAATGGAAATGCTGGTTGCTTTACAAATAATCATCTTAATTTTAACTGAATTAATTACTTTCAAATTAGATTTGACTGTCCAATAAATCTGGGCTAACCTTTACAGAGAAGCACTGCATTCTGCACTCTTCAGCGCTGCTTCTCCAAGGAAATCACACATGCCCAGGAACCCAGATAAGTCCAGAACTGCTCTAGAGAATCTGTGCAAAAGTCCAGTGCTGTATCAGTATTATGGTTATCCAGGCTTTTGCATTAGCTAGAATATTATAAATCCTTATTATCTTAGCTAATAGAGAATTTTGCATTTCCAAGTAAAGAAGAAAGGTCCTGTAAGAATTAGTATACCTCTTCTCTTATCCAAGTTCTCTTATAGACCTTGCTGTCTCTACCATTGTTCCTAACAGGTTTTTTTGGCGAAAATGGAGAGCAGCTAATGTTCTTACAGTCTTTTTTTGTGAAGTCTTATTTCTAAAGGCTTAAGGAACCACGGGTGCAATTCAGAAGATGTTTTTTCTTTCACTCAAGCCTCCCCTAAATCTTTATGCATGTTTTCCAAACATGAACAGTGTGAGGCAATTTCTTGTCTGCATTTCTCAGCTTTCTGTATGCTGCCAGACACTCCTGAGATAAGACTGAACTTAAACTTCCTTTCATATGCAAACTGAGCATCATTTATGAACGATGAGAGCTAAACCATACTTATCAGAAAACAGCAGCAAGATGTGGGGACACTTCACCTTTTTCACTGTCTCCATCTGCCACAGATTCAGCTTTAGGAAGACTTGTTGCAGAAAAACCGAATGGGGTAGTGCTGCTTGTCACAGGCAATGAAGATTTTAAGAAGCTTTCTCCCAGTGGAGGCAGAGTTCGTGCCATTCGAATAAACTGTTCTGGTGACCTTTCCTTTAGAAGACCAAAAAAAATATACTGAGAATAAGGGTAGAAGAACAAAATGTAAGCAATTTCTCATATTAAATAGTAGTATTTTCTTTTAGTCGATGATACTATGCTGAACTTTTACACAAAGCAGAAAAAACTATCTTCAATATTTTAATTATTTAGAGTGCTAAAAAGTGGATATAGAAGGAATTTTTTAGATTGTTTCTACACAATAATTTCAAGCAGTCTTAAAATATAGACAAAGGGCAAAAAGAACTTCTATTTAAGATTTCTATTTAAAATGAAAAACTACTCTCTCAAATAACACTGAGATATTTAACCCACAACATCAATACATTTTTACAAAATAAATGCAGGTTTTGGTAGAGTTAGTTTTCAGAAATGTAAGTAAAATAATCCAACTCATCATGCTACTTAAAGAAATCACATGGAATGTGTAGTGGAGACAAAGGGGAAAAAACTACTATTTTAAGTAGCTACAGGATTTAGGGATATTTTAAGCTGATTGTGAAATGTTCTCCTTATATATTTTATAAACTATGAACTTGTTTAATATATTCAAGGACTCAAAGGGAACAACAAAAGAGTTGGGTTCTTGGCACCATTTAAAAATATAAGATATTTTTAAAAATGCAAAAGAAGAAGTCTATTTTGCAAACCCAATTTGAATTTTTTTCCCAGAAATAAACAAGGAAAATCTGACCAATACCTCTTTTTTTTCCTGCATCAGCTTTTGGGATCAGAGTAAATATTAATTTTTCTTTTTATACATTAAACTTAAACACTTATCTTAAGAAGATGTATTTATCTGCTGGGTATATGCTGTGATTTTTAGCTTTAAAAGTGATTTTGTTTCCTAAAAGAAGTATGGCAGCTCTAAACAGCTCTGGATTTACCCTCTCCCGACGTCGCATTCGTGCTGCTGACAGTTGTAAAGTGTCTGCCAGTACAAAGTCCCCACTCATTTTAGGGATAGTAGCAGTCAAAGGATTCTCATATAAATCTTCTAAGAGTATTTCTTCAGATCCTTTAGGTCTCGGAGCAGCAAAAACTAGCATGTGACAACCACCACAAGCAACCTGCAGCTCAAAAAAGGGTCTGATTATTTCAAGTATCAATGCAAGGATGGTATTTTCTTATAATCATCTCAAGGGGCTTGGATTGCAAGAAAAATGTAATAAAGGTAAGACTACCAAATTGCTTCAAATTTTGCTCCTAATTACATCAGCAAAATAAAACTACTTAATTATGTTTATTAATGACTAGTGATCTATCTTCACTTATTCTTAGCTAAATACAATATATTTGTATTGAACAGAACAATAGACAGACATTTCCACTGATTTTTGAGAGATTTGAGCTAATTATTTTGATACAAGTCAAATGTGGTCAACACTGATAGTTTCAGTTACACAAATCTAGTTGTTTTATCACAAAATCAACAAAATGTAAAGCAAATCATAATCTCTCCAATATATGTAGTATTATTACATAAAGATCAGTGGTTTCACTTTTTAAAAAGTTTAAAAACTTCACTTCTGATTAGACTTCCTTAAACTCTATTTCCAGTAAACAAACAGAAGATAAACAGATTTTAGTCCCAAATTTTGCTCAAAGTTTTGTTAGCATTTTTGAAGCCGACAATTCTGAGACGTTTATTTCTTCTGCACCTCAAAAAATAGACAAAAACAATTCCCTTAAAATGAAAGAGTATTCCTGCTTTCTCACCCCATTTGGATTCTAAAAAGCAAAACCTCAAATATTCTCAAATATTTAAAAACATCCCACTGAACAAAAAATTGCCACAATTGAAAAGGTAACACTCTGGTGTTTTCACAAAAGATATCAATTTCCCCCTATTCCAACAATCTAAGAGTAATAAATATTTCATTTTATAGGCTACCACAGCTCTATAGACCAAATCCCTATAGCACAAGACTACTGAATAAAACCCTAAAAAAGAGTCTATATGTGTAGTTCGAACCAAAGAAATTCTAAACAGGTAAGTATATATAATTTCCTTTTTCTTTCAATTTATGTGGTCAACTAATTAAATATTAAAGAAATAAGTAATTCTATAATAAGATTTCAATTCTCATTAATAATGTGTTTCATAAAAAGGTGTCTGAGAAGCATGAACAAAAGTTTTACCAAAAGCACTGTGAACTTCAAGAAATTATAACACAGAGTGGGATCAAACAGGTTTGTAAAACTCTCTTCTCCAAAGCCCAGCTTGCCATGTCGTCCATCTCCAAAAGTAAACATGAGGCCATTCTCTGTATGTGGAAAAAAGGATGTTATAACCAAGATACAATACAAAACCAGGACAGAACCATTGCAAACAAAATAACAGGCCATGAAAGTAAGAAATATTTTTCTTCCAAAACCAAAACCTGAACAATTATTTTTAGAATTTCAGCAGATGAATATGATTTTAAAACATATGCATATTTTCAGACAAAGGACTGTCTGAGATGCAAGTTAGTCTAGACAATTTGTAAAAAAAAAAAAAAACAAACTAACAAAATAATAAGATTTAAACAGTATAGAAAAACAAAGGCTTCTAAACAAGAATATTTGTTAAAGCAAGGCATGCTTATGAGGCTATAATTCCCCAGGAGATACAGGGCACAGAGTCATGCCCAGCACGGATGTGAATCAGGAATTCCTATCAAATCTGGCTTCCTCACTGGCTCCTGTACCCTTCAGAACCAGTACATTTGCACGTGTCTTCTGCTATTGCTCATTTTGTAACAGAAGCTTTTCCAGTACAATAGCGAGTTGCTGGAAGTTCATTTCAGATTTTTGCACTGACATACCTGCTATTACAGCAGTGTGATTTTCCCCACATGCAACGTTACGTATTTTATGCTTCTTCAAGTGTTTCACAGACTTCGGCACCGAAGATTCAAAAACAAAAGTACCATGGCCCAGCTGCCCATATTGTCCAAGTCCAAAAGTATAGACATCTGTCTCTGAAATTGTACAGGTAAAGTTAATAAAAAACCATGCTAATATACATGTATATATTTATATAGTAAATGGCTTTCTATTAGCCAAATGGAAGGCAACTGACATCAGCATCAAAAAAGCAATGTTTAAACAATTAAAAAAATGCACTAGCCCTAATCAATTACATTTATCAATTAATAACAACATATAACAAAACAAAGAAAACCAGGAAATATTTAGAGAAAATTTTGAATGGTTCAATATGCAATATATTTTCTAACATAACTGCAAAATAACCCACTGATCACAGGTACATGAGCTACCAGTTAAAAAAAATTAATGAAATTTACATACTGCAATCAATTCAAGACCACAATATTTACATATTCATGCATTTTCAAGTGCAATAGTCTCATCTTAATTTCTCTTTACCTTCATTTACCTTGTATGATCCTAAATTTCATAGACAAGATCTCTTTAAACCAATACTAATTTGTATGTAAGAAGAGACTGAAACAAAAGAGGTTTAAGTATTCTGTTCAGCTACCAAATCAGCCCTGCACTAAACACAGAGAAGACCATAATTGTGTTATCTTGTGACAGAATAATCATCTTTCCACATTTATATTTTGTCTGTTTAATGGTCTGTCTGTGCCAGGAAAAAGAATAAAAGCTTCTCCAAAGCAATAAAGATTCTTGGTGTGTCCATCCTTGGCATTCCATCACAACAGGGGAAGACTGTGAAGCTTGGAAATCTTGATGAGGTCATACTTGAAAAGAGAAGTTTTTTTGGAAAAACGAGAGTTTTTCCTGGAATTTTATTCCCTGTTCCCTTTTCTTTTGCATGTAGGCAACGAAGGAAAAGCTAGAGAACTATTATTTAAAGTACTTGAAAAATTATTAAGAAAACCTAGGAAAGATTGGGAAGGACAAAAATTATTCTATGTTAAGTAAAAAGAACTTGGGAGTAAAAGATATTGTTACATCATTGTTATGAATTCAGTGCAGAACATGCCCACTTTGCTGTAGAGATGCCATCAGATTAAAAATGCCACCATTTTCAAAGGCAAGAGAGGAATGTGTGGAACACCAATCAACAGAGAATCTTTGCTTTCTGAGCACTTCTTTGTGACCACTGGAACAGCAAAATAACTTTAAGTGCCACAAAAGTAACTTACACTGTGCAATCCAATTCTCACAGCAGCCACAAACTGGAGAAATACTAAAAACTAATCATGGTACCATTCCCTTAAACTAATCCTTCACTGCTGTCAGGGAAAGAGAAAGCAGAGAACAGACCGGGTTACAAATCACTACCATAGTACCCTTACTTGTACTAAACTTTCCGATTTTAAAAGAACCTTTATGAAACAGTGTAACACTACATATGGAAATGTTCTTTCTAGGAAAGGCTTTGCTCTTTCTATTCCTTTAAAACTTTACCATATTAAGATGTCATGAATTCCCACTGTAAAAAAACCCCAACAATCTCACTTTTTTCCAGACTGTAGATGATGGATATTGAGTAAACCTCTTTTTTTTTTTTTTTTTTTTTTTTTTCCACTAAATGTAATGATAAAGCTCCCTCTGCTGGAGATTCTAGTGCAAGAAAGCAACACCTTCTCAGGAGCTTTAGAAGGTAATACAAGAAATTTCCTGTAACATTTAGACTTTCTGCACCAGAATCAAAAAACTACTCGTGAAAGACAGGAGCTTTTTCTAAGCAAACCGAAGTCTCATCTTCATTTCAGCAAATTACTTCCTCAGGATGGCTGATTCCATAAATTCTGCTTAGAAGTATTGCATTTGTCTTAACATTTCTTTGGAAACTGGCAGATCTTGTAATTTCCAAATTATACGGCTTTATCTGATTAACATAATTACTTTGAGTGAAGTTGGAGGGTTTTTTTCACAATATCTTTAATTCTAGTATGAAACATGCAATGTCTTCTGCATTTGTGTCTAGTGGGAGAGATTCTCAAATGTGAAAGAGCAGGAAATATTTTCTTTTCTCTCTTTCTCTGACAATGAGGAGAAAGGGGTGATCCCAAGCCAGGCTGGAGCACTTTTATAAGAACAATTTCTTCTGCTGCTCTTACAGATCAGGGGCATCTAAACGTTGCTCCTCCTAAACTTACTTCTTAGTCAATTAACAGGGCATAGGAAGAGAAAAACTTTGCACCTTTCTTAAGCAATTCACTGCTCTGGCACAGCAGTGAGGTCACACATCAGTAATAACATCATTTAGCAGAAATGAGGTATCTCCTCCAAACTGTCCTTAAAAATATGTGGAAAGAGAAGTGTATGGCAAAGCAACATCACACACTTAGTGATAAAATGACAGTGGTGAATTTCACCATTCTGAATTTGGATTTGTAAATAAATTTGCCTACAGCATGAATCCCAAAGGGATTCACATTAATTTCTCTTTACAGTCCTCAGTCCCAGTAAGGATATGTTTGTAATAGAGTGAAAGGGCAGATTTCATCCCCCTTCATTTTCTTTTTTCAGTCCCCTCCTGCACTGTGCTGCACACCTCGTTATGTGGTGACCGTGCCCAGCTCAGCGTGTCAGGATTTGGGGGGTTTTGCTGATACAGTTTCCTGTGGAACAGTCAAGGCAGCACCAGAGTGGTATAAGGGAAGAGGATGGACATATGGCCACAGGAGAACGAGAAATGCCTCCAGGGTATCTGGGAATCACAAGGAAGGCTCAGACACAGAAACACCACCCAGCAGGAAGAGAGCACGAGTCCTGTCTCTGCCTTGAGGAAGGAACTGCTGTCTTCACAGCAAGAGCCGATAGGAGGGTCCTTGACAGAAAAAGAGAAACAGTTTCAGAGCTTGCACAGAAGCCAATGGCATCGTTTTTCCAAGTGACCTCCAGCACCTAAGTGCAGGGACTGCTTCTCCTTTTCTTCCTACATTCCCTTTTTTGGAAGAACAGGGGTATTTCCCTGTATTTGCTTAACTTCCAACTTCGCAGGCATATTTTGTAATCTCCGTGATCACTGACACTATCAATAAAATAGTCCTAGGCAAAAATCTATACAGTTTTCATAATTTTTTTTAAAACATGCCATTTGCTTAAAGAACTGTGTGAGCTCTGAGAGTGGTTTTAAGAATTATGTATTCCCTGCTATGTATTTAAGGCTACAGACAAAGTTTAAAAACCCACAGAACTAAAACAGAGCAGAGAGGTGTGCTTATATCATAGAATCATGGAATCATGGAATCACAGGATGGCCTGGGTTGGAAGGAACCTGAAATATCACCTAGTTTTAACCCTCCCTGCCATAGGAAAGTGTCCCTACACTTTCCACTAGACCAGGTTGTCTCAAGCCCCATCCAGCTTGGCCTTGAACACTTCCAGGGATGGGGCATCCACAATTTCTCTGGGCAATTTGTTCCAGTGCCTCACCACCCTTACAGTGAAGAATTTCTTCCTCATAACTAATATAAATTACTCTCTTTCAGTTTGAAGCCATTCCCCCTTGTCCTGTCACTACATGCTCTTATAAATAGTCCCTCTCTATCTTTCCTGTGGGCTCCATTCAGGCACTGGAAGGCTGCAATTAGATCATCACAAAGCCTTCTCTTTTCCAGGCTGAACAACCTCAATTCTCTCAGCCTTGCCTCACAGGAGAGGTGATCCATCCCTCTGATCATCTTGATGGCCTCTCCACAGAGATTAATTTCCAAATGTTATTATTATCACTACTATAACTATTATGTCAATGGGCTATTCACTCTTATAGTAGCTTTATTTTTAAACACCTTATAATGAAAAATGTTACTGCAAAAAATCATCTATCAACACAATACTCAGTGTTACCGGAGCTAGTAATTAGATTTGGGGATTTCAGTATAAATAATATACAGACTTAAGAATGGTCTGAAAAATCTAGATAATCCTATGTGGTTTGAACAGTGGGTTCTGTCAGGAAAAGGTAGAGCTTTTTCATCCTTTTTATCCTCTTTAAAACGGGTGTCATGGCTTTCTTTGTAAAAGACCCTGAGACAGAAGATGAAAAATCCAACATTTTACATACTAATGCATTAATGTGCTGTATTGTTGTGTCAAACATTCTATTCTCCAAGGACTACTTCACTCTTTCCTTTGAAGAGCTATCTCTGCTTTCCCTCCTTTCAGAGAATGAAAGGAGGTAATATATCCTTCTGTAGACAAGATTATTCCCAGAGGATCTGCCGTCACCTGAAAAAAACTGGAAGATATTAAGGCCACTCCAAATCATCTGTTTCTTCTTCTCCAATGTCTAGGTTCACATTTATTATTATCCTGTTAAAACATTTTACTGAAAAAGTACACAAATTGTGATTGCTGCTCTCTCATATTTCTTTTGAGAGTGATGACAGCAACAGCTTTCATTTTCAGTAGGAAGCAGCTGCAAGCATTGGGGTAGTGGGTGCATTTATTTCAGTCTCTGAGAGAACTCCTGTGGGATGAGGATATGATCTCCTTGGACTGGCTGACTGACTGCCATGAAATGCATAGGTTTGTGCTGCCTCAGGGAGAGAAAGCTTTTGCATGCTAGAATTTTTAACTGCTGTTCTGTTGCTTCTCTGGAACAACTGCAAATATTAAAGGCAGAAGTAACACTAAGGCTTGTAAAGAAGATAGCTTCCAATGCCATATCCAATATTTCTAAAAATTTATCTTTAAAAAGTTGGGTTTTTTTCCAAATAATTACTCTCAACAATTTAATTCTTGTTCTCTGGGAAAAATAATTGAGGTTCCTATTTTGGAATTTCAGAGGGAAAAAAAAGGAATTACTTTAATATGTATGTTCTACCACTTACTCTGATTCTTGTTGGAGAGATGCCAAACAGTAGATTCATTTAATAACCCAGATACCAGTAGTTTTTACCATACAAAATTGCCAGTAGTATAGATAAGTCATAAAAAAGAAATCAAATGAAGTGCTTTGGAATAGACTAATTACACATGAGAGTCAGGAAGAAACTTGCCTTGTAGTCTGTAAGATAACTGGATTATGATTTCTTCTAATTTGATAAACCCTAAGTAGAAAGGATGGCAAGAAATGAGCCAAGACGTGCAACAGCATCTCCACGTGACACTTCCTCCTATCCTTTTGCTATGTTAAATGAGATAGAGGAAGCTGGGGAATAGTCAATAGTCAGACACTCACTTCTTATTTTTTTAGAGTGAAATGCCACATTCTTAAAAACTGGAAAGACCCTGAAAAGATGAGACATAACACTATTGTGTTATGTTGTATTCCTAAACCAAGCAACACCTATTTTCATGGAAGATGACACATAAAGTTAAGAATTTCTTCAAAATTGTACTGATTTCTTAACTATGAAAATGAGCTTAAACCAGGTATAAGTGCTTCTGCTCCTCTTTAAAGATATATCATCAGAATTCTCAATTTGTAGTCACACCACTTTATGTCAAGATGTAATTTCAAGTTAGGTTTCTGGTGCTAAAACTATAATCTATGTATGTCATACTCACTTTCAAAATTATTATTGTCCATACCTATCCTTTTTCACATTTTTTTCCCAAATTTTGCTTTGAGACAGAAAAATTTCTGTATGTTAACACTGCTGACGAAGTATTTTTCACTCGAGACAGTATTTCCACTATCCTCTATTCTTTCACTCAAAGTGTCCTAGGTAGAAGTTCACAGCTGTAACCTATTTAATAACAGCTGAATCACATTAAAAAACCAACTATCTGACTTTTCACTCTTATCACAACTACTATTAATCTTTAGGAAATGTATTTTGCTGGAGGGTACAGTTTTCCTCTTTCAGTGACTCAACTAGATCTTCTGGCACTCAACACTTTGACCATCAACTGACAGCTAAGCCAGCACTGAATTTCTTATTTGCCTTCTACAACAAAATCTATTTCCATAAGCAACTAAATCTTACATACTAAAACACTGGCTTACATTATTATGTATTAATATGAAAATACCTTACTGTGGTATGTTCTTCTACTGCTTTTGGTTTTTTGGCATTTATATTTTGCCTCTCTGTTCTAGCTCTTGTACAGATTTCACTGTAATGATGATGGCATCCAGGTCTTCATCTTTCTACTAAATCTCTGTAACAGTTGTTTGTTATGATGAATTTTTATCACATGAAATATCATTAGAATGAAATATCTATTGTTTGAACTCAGATTTATGGTTAAAAAACAATCAATAATGATAATCAAATTCTTTCTGCAGAACTTCATTTTGTAACACATAAAATAGTGCTATGATTTACACATTTGTTGGCCTCCAATTTATGGCAATTCTTTTGCTAATAATGATAATCTGATTTTATGTAAAGAAATTTATTTTATGACACAGAATACTGCCAGAGTAAGACTGCATGTTGGTGGAAGATGAGAGACAAAGTCATTGAAATGTAGACATATATTTGCGTTATTTCCTGGATTGGCTGCTGCTATTTCCTCTTCATAGTTTTCCCAAAGGAATTTTGTCCTACCCAGAATCTTCAGCTTGAATCATTACACACAGCCTTTCCCAGCATTTCACTTCCACCCTTTACTCTCTCCAATGGCTTACAGTACAATACCACATAATATTACTTGCAATCCCCCTCAGTTAGATTTTCAGTTTATATTTTAGAAATTTTAGTTACATAATCTTAAAGGTATGTCACAAGATTGACAAGAGAATATGTAGACTTTTCAGAATACAGATTTAGGGACTGATAACTATACATCCAACTTGGTTTTATAGCTTTTGTATTTTGGTAGGAGAACAATTACAGGCTATACAGCCTTACAGATATTATATTCATTACAAGCCAAAGTTGATATTTTTCAAACCATCTGTGGGCAAAGTAAAACTTACCTTTCCAGCTTCTCTACCACTATAGTTCAGGATAGAACTTGTGGAAATAAAGAGCCAGCAATACTTTGCACATATCTCTTGGAAAAGCTGAGTCACTGCTGGCAGACAACTATTTAACAGTTCAGTGACATACACCATCTTCCAAGTACTATATATATGGCCCTGTGAACTATTATGTAACAGTTGTATTTGCTGATTTTCATGACTTGTATGATATGTCAAATGTCTATATCTATACTAGTTTTATATGTGTGCTAAAGATTCTTCTGAAAGGCACAGGAAAAATCCGTATCACAAGAAGAGATATTTAATTCACTTAGGTGTCCAGTACTTACTGAAGCTACTTGAAAAGTGACTTCCTAAGTACTTTACTAAATATTCAAGGTAATTTCAATTTACTACAGAATGGAACCTTTCCTCTAAAATTTCCCCCCTCACTGCAATACCACTTTCAAGCTCCTCAGAGGAAAAAAGCATTAATCATCTGTGTTGCGCTAGGAGGTGCTGGCTTATTACAATTCTGAGAGGCACTCAGACTAGGTAAAGTTCTCTTAAATGCTATTTATTGGAGCTAAGACTATAAAAAAAAAAGAAAAAAAACCAAGATAGCATCAATAACCTTCTATCCCTTCAGATGCTGGGAATCCCAAGCTGTGTGGAATTGAACAGGTTTAGCATGCTGTGCAAATCTCATCCCTGGAAAATTACTCCTTTTGGTCATTTGAGCTCTTATAGGATTTTCTTATAAGTAAAACAACGCTATACATCATTTATACTGTCATATGGCAACTTGCTTGATAAAGGCAAGGTCACACAAGTCGTGTCACCAGTGGTATCAACCAGGATCCCATTTACACTCAATGTCAGTGGGAAGCAAATTCTTTAAAGTAAATTAAATTTAAGACTAAGTTATAGGGCAGAAAAAAAAAAAGCCAGTTAAATTACATACCTGTCAGCACCACTGTGTGCTCTCCACCACAAGCAACCTTATTAACTTTTTCCATAATTCCCAGTACAGGCTGTGGAACTCTATTGTTCTTCAGCTGTTCAGGCAATAATCCCAGTTTACCATTTGCAGGTTCTCCAAAAGTATAGAGCTCACCATCTCCTGTGAAAATATGGAACATGGTGTGGTTTCCAGCGTGCACTCAGAAGCAAGGATGAGTTGTCAAGACTGCTGCAGACACAAATCACTGTCAGAAAAGTCATTACAGGATAATTGAAAATACTTGTATAATGCCCAAACAGATGTGCAAAGCACTCTGCTTTGATGGGACATGAAAGTGCTAGGTTTTAGCTCCCTCCAAGATCAGAATGACAATACTGAGCCTGCAAGAAATGTAGCCAAGGGAAAACCAAAATCATATACATCCTGCTTCTGAGAGGTTACAATTCCCTCTGAAACCAGTATTTACATCAACTGAAGTTGCTTATAAGAATCTGAATTACAACAGAAAATAATTTGGAATGGAAACAAAAAATAATTTTGCATGGAATTTTGATGCTTTCTTCTTGTAAGATATAAAGAAATCACAGTAAATGACATGAAACTGTGTGTGGTTTGGACAGTAAGAAAAGAACTGTACATCCAACCACAGAAATATGGCAGTGATTCCATAGCAATAACTCCAGCAGAATTAAGTTTAAATAACTTGTTTCTAATCTGGGCATATGGAATGATGGTGTTTGTCTTCCCAAGTCACTGTTACCTGTGATGGAGCCATGCTGTCCTGGAGATGGCTGAACACCTGCCTGCCCATGGGAAGAAGTCAATGAACTCCTTGTTTTGCTTTGCTGGCAGACACCGCTATTGTTTTACCTGTTAAACTGTCTTTATCTCAACCCACAAGTGTTTTTTTTTCACTTTTACTCTTCTGATTCTCTGCCTGATCCTGCTGGTGGAGAACAGTGAGTGAGTGCATGTGTGGTGCCTAGTTGCTGGAGTTAAACTAGGACAGTGGTTTATATGGTTTCTATATTTTCCAAGATCACTTCTGCCTCTCACAACAGAAAAGATTCTTTAAGTACCATGGTTCTGGGCCACTAAGGCTGGCAACTGGACTTACTACCTTTACAGAATGTTCTAACTGCATAGGGAGGCACTCAGGGAATGAGATTAATGAGATCTTACTCAATGTCAAGCTTTCTACAAGGTTTGATGGGACTCAGGCTATTGAATAGCGACCCACAATCTATTCACAGAGATCCATTGTCTTCAGCAATGCAATGAAACAGGACAGCAGCTGTATTTCCTAACTCTCATGACCAGAGGTGTAACTTCATCCTCCCAGTAGTCCTTATTTTTTTCTATAATTCTGACATTTTCTTTCCTGCACACACAAACTAGCCCAATAATATTCTAACACTTGGGTTACCTGCATGTGTCTGTGGAGAAGTACCTTTCACAGAATCACAGAACCATAGAATGGGTCAGGTTGGGAGGGACCACAGTGGGTCATCTGATCCCACCTCCCTGCTCAAGCAGGGTCATCCCAGAGCACATGGCACAGGATTGTGTCCAGATGGTTCTGGAATATCTCCAGTGAGGGAGACTCCACACCCTCTCTGGGCAACCTGTTCCAGTGCTCGGTCACTGCACAGCAAAGAAGTTCTTCCTCATGTTCAGGTGGAACTTCCTGGGCATCAGTTTCTGCCCATTATCTCTTGTCCTGTTGCTGGGCACCACTGAGCAGAGCCTGGTCCATCCTCTGACATCCCCCCTCTAGCTATTTATAGACATTGATGAGGTCCCCTCTCAGTTGTCTCTTCTCGAGGCTTTCTTACATTCTTCTACAGTTTTTTTATAAGAGTTGCTTTGCAGTCATTTCAATCTGTCTGTGTTCTTTAAGAATAAGAATGAACTGTGTTTAAGCTTTTCTGTTCAGTTTGATTTCCTGTTTTAATTCTGATCTTTTTTCTTATATCTATGTGCAGAAATACTCTGAACAAGCTGACACTTTGCAGTTATTTGCAGCAGCATCAATTTTCTGTTCTAAAACAGCAGCCCAATTAAAAAGAGAAAAAAACAACTGCAATGTGTGGTTTTCTGTAACCAAAGCATTCTGCTGACAAAGAGATTTTATTAGGGATTCTAAGTGAAAAAAATGGAAAAAACCCAACAACAAAAAGAACCTGTATTTTTTGGAAGGTGAATATTGTTTTAATACTCTTAGATCAGCCTTATATTTTTAGAAATGAGTTGATAAACCCCCAAAAGCACTTGGGAGATAACTACTTATGAAGTTCTCTTTGAAGAGACCAGCAGTTCTTTTTAAACACTACTGCACTGAAAAAATTAATCCAATCACAATCTAATTAATAGGATTAGAGATTCAAATGGCCCAGCTTCCATTGACTTCCCAAACTAATCAAGTTTATTACATTTTTTCAACTTAATAATCCAGCTAACAAAGATAAAACCATTTACTAAAGCAATTTTTGAATGCATTACGCATCCCTTTAAGGCAAATAGTGGTCTAAAAGCTATGAAAAATAGCAATCAAGCATAAAAAGAATCCAGTCAAACCCAGATAAATTTTGAGTGCAGCATGTGTGCAGTAAATCTGCATGCTAAGGACATGATGTACTGTGTGCAGTACACCTGCATTTTAAGGACATTATGTTCACAACAGAGCCTGGTTATTTAATTTTCTTCTCTCATATGAGTCACATTCTCAGGTGTTGAACTTTCCATAACGTGGCACATTTTCTGTATCACTAAACTTTAGGTCCCAGGAGCATGTCAAGGAAATGGGCAAGCAAATGGAAAATGTCTCCCAAAGGCGAATGTGCATCCTGCAGATGAGAGCAGATAGGAGACCTGGCTGGTGGTAAATGAGGACAGTGGACAAAAGAGTTGGATCACTCTATGATCCCTTGAATAAATGAGGAAGAAAAAGAACTATTTTTTTCAAAACCAAACTGGTTACAACCATCTCAGACACTGAAATTCAGAGTGCAGAAGTGTTTGTGGGATGAATGGTCTTTACAACCAGTCCTTAGAAATAATGACAAAATATATTAAGAAAGGAATTAATGGCAACTGCAAAGGTCTCTATGAAAAGACATCTTTTCAAAGAGAATTTATCTTGACCTTGATTACAGTAAGAACTCAGGCAGGGGAAACACTAGAAGATATAAGAATATATTCAGCTCCTTTCTGGCTCCACAAATCTAATTCTGCTGTAGACACCAGAGCAGTGGTTTAGATACATTTGCTTTTCCTGCTCTCCATCTCCTCCAGTGGACAAATGAGCTCCACGTGCATGCCAAGCTTAATGCTTCCTGAAAAACTGTCCCTCCTGAGTATGGTCAAAGGTACATCAAGTAAGGATCTGTGAAAGGGCTCAAAATCGTTGCTACACTCTTCCAGCTCTTTGTTTCTATGTTGCTTTGTTTGAGACATAACTCAAATACTGGGACCCAGCATCCTAAGTCTGCAAAGAGAAAGGAAACATACTGTGAAAAAGTCCTGAAGAGGGCTGGAAGCAATAAAAACTTGTTTTCAGTGGAACTCTTTAAAGAAGGCAAAGAAGAGGGAAAGAAAGCGAACAATCATCTTTCAAAAATGAACTCTTTCATAATTTGCATATGGAAATGAGTATAAGTTTCTAAATTTCAGGAGTGTTTTTTTATTAAAAATACTCAGAATATATTCTGTTCTTGTATTCTACAACTACTTTGGCACCAGTGAGGTCCATGTGTACATGATAGAATCCAGGTGGCTGACATATTCAGTAGCTGAATTACTGTCTGAAAAGAAGGCCTTCTAAGGAAGCAGAAGTGAGAAAGGTGATCAACCTTCTTGGAACTACTAAATAAGTGACATTGCACTGCACTTAACAGCATATAAACACCCTAAAGACAAAACCCTACTAAAAAATCTTTTTAAAACCACCTGTTTCAAAGAAATAACAATTTTAGTTTATTAAAAAAAAAAGCTGGAATCCATACTTTACCACTTTTTTTTCACTCAATAGTCTCTTATTAATGAACATCCTGCCCTGGAGAGGGCACTCTGTGCCCACACTATGTATTCCAGTATCCTCATTAACCCCTTTTTAGTTTTAACTCAGATACGCCTGTGATCCTAACAGTTATTACTTAGCTAGTGTACACCTTATGTCTAAAATAAACATATTAAGAAAGGGAACCATGTGGTGCCATGCTCACAAATTCAGCCTGACAGCACGTATTAGGTCTTACATCCTGCAACTATGTTACGTTATTAAACATAGTATATTATTGGATGTTTAAAAGTCAAAGTGTAGTAATTCTAGGGTATCGAGTAACTGACAAGGAGCACACTGTGTGACTACAGTACACTCAGATTAAATGCACAAAGTTTGTTAAACACTGGATACACACTGACACTACTGCAACAGAAGATCCAACCAGCAAAAGTACTTGGATGCCCAATACTAAATTTTTATGGTAGCTGAAGTGTCAGTCAAATAAAACTATACGCAAGGGCCTAAAGGAAAGTAATAAAAAAAATTTATACTTTCATCACAAAAAGGTCACGTGTGTGTCAATAGTTTCAGTGAGATAGACTGAAGCCCAGATCATGCAGGATTTGCAGATATTAAGGAGTAAAATTAAGATTTTCCGTCTCATATTCAGGCCTGTTTAAGTAGTAACAGGTTCAACAACTCCTCATTTTCACAGGTGATAATCAGTTCATCTTCCTATTAATATTTTGAGAGACTCAATTTTTCTTAACCAGCTGAAACCCTAAGCCTTTCTTCTCATCCTCTTTCATTAAAAAGTTTCCACTTCCTTAGAGCACTTGGCAGCACACACTGTTCTCTCTTTACTCTTAGATGCTTGTCCTCAACTCTGCTTCTTAACGAGAGCTTTTGTGACATCCCACTGCAGTTTCAGAGCTTCAGCTCTTGGCTCTAAGGCAGAGATACACACCTTCTTACCACATTCTTCAAGTAAGTATCTTTTTTTCCCCATTTATTCTGAGTTTCAGAAGCTGCAGATTTCCTAATAGGTGCTGAGCTCCTCATCAGTCCTAGGCACTTAATTCATTTACTGTAATAAAGGATCTGTAATAAAAGTTGCACACTACCAACATAACACCTAATTAATATTTGTCCACCATAGCAAGCTCTCATTCTGTTAACAGCATGTTCTCAGAGAGCAATATTATATTGTATGTGGAAAAGTAACATTTATCAAGTAACCTGAGAAAGGTATCTGATGGAATAGCTCCTGGGTACCCATTAAAAGCTTTACAATCAAAACTATTGATCCTTTGAAATCTTTAATTACTCTGAGGGGACCAAACTCTAAAGTTTAATAATGTAAATCTATATGGCTGAGAGGAATTCATGGCTGCTCATACATAACAGCATCAATACTGGCTGATAAATTCACCTATGCTGGCATTATTTAAAAAAGAGTGAAATCTTCACTCTGGAAACTAACAGAGAGTTGGGAGAAGAGAATTGGAAACCAAAAGAGAAGTGGGTTGGTTTGGAGATCAAAATTTAAGACATAACATCAAACTTTGACAACAACCTTGCACTGCTAGCACATGAGATTAATTTTTCCTCATAACATAGTAACTCTGTTCAATATTTATATTTCTAAAGAAGAGGGAGACTATTATTTGATCATCACAAAGAAATTAATAATTTCAAGAAAAGTTAGATATTTGAAACAGTAGTATTAACCACAATATATGTCACAACCTTCATGAAAATAAAGTGTGATAAGATACTCATTCTTTCTAATGTAGATACTCATTCTTTCTAATGTACATTTGCACAACAATGCAGAAAATTAACTGCAGGTTTTTCCCCCAGTGTGATATAAAACTACATCAACGACTTTCTGTCACACAGCAGTTTTTAACAACTAATTTTAAAAGTAACAAATGACTTTACACAGGCAACAATTTGAAAACCACTGTCCTGTCTCCACTAACCTCTATTCCCATTCCCTTACCTGTGATCAAGGCAGAGTGATAATATCCACAGGATACAGAGGAAACAGGTTTTCCAACATCCACTCGACAAGGGACACTGACACAGGATTCATTGGCCAAGCCAATCTGACCTTCTGAATTATCACCCCACACAAAAAGCTGCCCATCCTCTAAAATGAAGACACAGATAGTTAACAGATTTATACCAAAAACTAATAAAAAGTTAATCTACCTTCTGAAGAGTGTTTCAGAAAAACTGTGTATGATACTACCAAATGCCATCATCCCAGGGACATTATGTTTAGCACAATGTAACAAAGTCTGAAGTAAGAAGGCTTCCCTTAAGCCTTTCAAAAGTGACACAGAACACTTATTCATCAATTGATGTCAGACCATAAATAGCAACAGCAAAAGTACTATGTAAAAACATTCCTTCAGAGAGAGGAAGATTGAGTGTGTAAGACAACTCAGTTGCCAGAGGTCAGTATGAAAATATCACAGTGAAGTTAAAGCATCTTCTAATTTCTAGGTGCAAGTCACCCCTTTCTTATTCTTCCAAACTTATTCTCTGTCCTGACTTTGGCACACATCCCACTTACTCATGCCTTCTTTCAGTTCCCTTCACACCTGATTATATTGCCCAGCTTAATTTTGCTTTCCTTGAACTACCACAATACCTGCTGCAGGTTAACTAAAACCAGCCTCTGTTGACACAAAGATCAATGGCAGCAGTAAAAAAAAAAAAAACCAAAACAAACAAACAAAAAAACCCAAACCAAACCAAACCAAACCAAAACAAAGTAGCAAACAACATGAAAACTCTCTTCTAGAAGACAAACGATCTTGTCTCTGCATATTTCTTACCAGTGGGAAATAAGTTGTGAATAAAAAAATCTGCTACTGAGACAGTGTTAGGAAGGAAGATCATTCAAAGTTGTCTTAAAAATCTTAGGAGAATGTTAGCAGTCACCATAAAAAAGCAAGAACCAAACAAGCAGCCTAGCATTCTGAAATTACAGCCTCAATAGGTTATCCTAAACATGTACAGAAACAGCTGCTTTACACCAACACTTTGAGAAAGTGCATTACGAGGTAATATAGGACCACCATCCAATGGCTGAAAGTATTATAACTGTGTGGACTTCAACATAATGTGTTGGTATAATTTTGCCACCTGAGAAATAGGTGATGGGTTTGGACTCTCTCAGAATTTTTAAGGAACGACACAGCTTTGTAGCTGTATTGCACCAATAGACCAAAAAAGTTGCTGTAAGAAGTGGAATTAGAGATGCTTAGTTTTTACAAGATTCATGTTTTGTAGCTGGCTTCCCTGGAAATAAACTGAAGACTTTTTCCATTTTGAGGGTCTTCATAGTGTTTCTCCTTTGTAAGGTTTGTAGTCCAGGTCAAGCTCCCACTGCAGGCCATGGCTCATGGAAAAGGTCTACTTCCACAAAAAATGTAGGAAGTTAGTTAAGACTGCCACCCCTTACCGGACTGTGTTAAAACAGGCAATTCATTTTCAAGAAATGACTATGGTTACTAAGGAAAGAAGATAGGGAGGATAGAAAATACATCCACATATGGAGACAGAATGCTGGAGTGTTTCCCTGGAACACCAGGCTGGACACATGTAAGCAGATTTTATTAGCAGTTGCTCTTACCAGTTACTGCTGCTGAGGTGTATGATCCAGCTGCTAGCTGCTTGATCTTGTGCTGGTTGGTGAAAAAACTTACTAAATGAAATGTGGTCCTTTCTTCTGTGTCACCTAATCCCAGCTGACCTTCACTGTTACCTCCAGCAGCATACACATTTCCTTTTTCTGCATACAGAAAAGCACATGTAACATGCAGAATGAAGAAACTGGAGCAAGTAATTTAATTTTCAACAGAAAAACATCACAGAAGTGTTGGGTCTACTGTCCTGAATTACTCCTGAGTTGACATTAGCAGTTTCTTTTGTAGCTAACAAGGAGGCCTTCCTGCACACACTTGGATCAGAACTTCCTAAAAGCCTTACATGTAGTTAGACTGTCTGCATTCCTTAATATTCTGAAGTCATGGCCAGGTTTCCCGAATGAAGATTTGGGAAGGGCTCTACCCACGTTTGTTGCAAGCGTTGGTGGCTAAAAAGGCCAATGAGAGACAGAATATTCTGAAGACTAACCTAATAAATAAATATAATTTGAAGTTTCTGCAAGAGTTCTGAGGAAACTACTACCAGTAGCCCTGGCAGCCAGAAGCAGCTTCTTCCACAAATAATGTATATTTTAAGATAAAATTAAAGGAAAATGGTGAATTATGTCACAGACAAGAAAACTGGAGCTGTATTAGTACATCAATTAAAGAGATTAATAACTTGATAGTTTTGAGTACTGTGAATGAAATATATTTTTAGTTAGTTTTTTATTAGAAATATTTTACTTTAATATTCAAATAACTTTCAATTTAATTAACTATGTATTTTGTTTCATAATCTTAAAATTAAAGTTAGTGCTGACAACTGATATCTTCAACTTAAGAGAATTTTAAGATTTATATTTTTAATTTTAGTATGTTTCACATCTAAAGTGTTCATCTATGATGAAACAGATAAGGCCCATTATTAACAAAAATCCAGACAGAAATGTGATAAGCAACTGACATTCAATTTATAAATGGTCCTTGTTATATACCTGGCCACAAACAATCTGGCCAATATGTACACCAAAAGTAACTAATATTTACCCTGTGCAGTCTTGCATACTCCATTGTTATTAAAATGTTCTTTTTATTCTAACAGTCTTATTTACAGTGCTCAGCATCTCCATGCATATAAAACTCCTAATAATCAAACAATCTTCTTTATAACATTACTAAAAGCTAAAGGATTGCAACCACAAAGATGGTTATTTTGTTCCATAAATTATAGAAGCACAACAAGAGTTTGCATAAATTCTCTGGATACTGTCTCTCTACAAATTTATTTTTAAGTTTAAATTTACATTTTATTTATTTATAGCTTAATAAAGCAACTTGTCATTGAAATAGCAGACTACGTTGTCTAAACAAAAATGCAACAAAATTTGAAGACTTGAAAACATGCAGTTCTACTATATTTACTCAAATATATAACTTCACACTAATAAATATTACTTGTCAAAGGTAAATTTGGGAACAGATGTATATAAAAATTATAATATACCTTTACAGGGCTTATATGAAATACTGACAATTGTTAACCACACCACAAGTGCCAGCAAGAAATTTTTCCCTGTGTCTATTGCTGGCAAACTGCTATATAACATTAGTTTATAAATGCCTCAGAATTATTATTGCCTCAGAATAAATCAAACATTCTAAGAATTGGATGTCAAACCCCCAAGTTTTAGCAGTCCCATTTTCATTTATTTTTCCTTCCTCAACAGTCCTGGGGCTCCTAATGTGATTTTGCTTGAAAGCAAGGGAAGAAATCTATTTCTAATATGTACACAATATAGATTACATACCTGTGTAAACTAAAGTGTGATTTCTTCCACAAACAGCAAGTTTTGGTTTTTCTGGTTTTAAAGCTATGGATTAAAGTGAAAGGGGGGGAAGAGTTATAAACAGCCAATAGGTGTTTCAACAACAAACTGCTCTGTGTTCTAGAGGGAGCTCTGAATGGTAATATTTCTTGCCTATTTGAACCTGGCATGACTTACTAAATCAGTATTCCCCCAAGATAAGAAAACAGATCAGACCTTAATAACTTAAGACACCCAAGTTAACTTGACAATGTTTACTTCAACCCAATGCCACAGTTCCTGGAATTTACCATTTACAGGATATGCCTCAAAGAACACATCAAATTGCAGGGTAAAATGCATGTTTAAAGTTGTCTACATTTTTCATTAACAGTTCTATTCTTAACTCCCTCTTATACTTCCCCCACTATCTTAAATCTTTAAAACCATACTGTTCTTTTGTCTCATCCTCCCTTTCTAATGCATGCATCCCTTTTTTGCTAGACTTTTACTCTGTACTGCCTTCTTACTGATCACTAAACTCAATTCCTAAGGATAGCCCTATCTGGAGTAGTGCCTACATTTTTGCATGTACCATCCTGTCTCAATTTCAGCTCAGTTACCACCCACCGTTGCAAGTACTTCTCTGCAGTCTGGTCATTTTGAAAGACTGGGAATGTATGTGAGAGGAGTCAAGATTTATTTTGTGGGAAAAAAAGAATACAGAGGTGCCTCCCACTCAGGCTAATCAATTGTATTTGATGAGATGTGCTCTATTTACAGTATTGTTGGCAATTTTTCATAACCAATTCCATTAGTCTCTAGTCAAATCCCAGGAGATATTTTCTCAGAAAACATCCAGTTACAACCATTTGGCTCCAAGCAGAAACTGAAATGTGTCCTTGTAACCCCATTCCCAAAGCCAAGTGATGACCAAAGGCTAGTGAGAAAAGCTCAAGGACTTTCTCCTGCTGCCAATTGCCAAGAGAAGAAAGATACCCCCCTTGTGACTTTTTTCAATGGATGCCAGGTCTGGTTTGAATTGCTGTCATCTTCTCTTCATCTTTTATTCTCCATTGCAATTTGACAGTAAAAACAAAACTTGACACCCAATCCATTTAAGCCAAGGTAAGAATCAATCTCTTACATAGCTGACAGAAGATGTGAACCTGACAGTAGCTGCATTCTCCCTCAGAAGTGAAATAGAGACAGGAGCAAATAAAGGACAGTAGAATAAACTAAATCAGGAAGAACAGAGTTTGAACAAGCAGGATAATTTGTTTTTAACAATAAGCTAACAGATCGATCTGCTGGCAGAAAGGCTGAATATAAACATCTAATGGTGAAAAGAAATGTGTTAATGGGATAGATCTGACCTGACATAAGTAAGGGGATAGGGAAAAGTATTGACTTAGTTTTGTTTGACAAGATAAAAACAGCCAGGAAAGATCAAGAAGATGACAGCGCAATGAAAACTTAATTTACAATACATAAAAGCATATAGGCATTTATCTTACTGCTCCATACAAATGTATTAACATTTATGCCCCCTTGGGCATTTCTTATGCTTGCTAAAAATGTAGTAGTAATTGTAGAAAGTTTCTGATAGATTTTTTCCATTTACAAAGTTCCTAAGACAGAAGTGACACAAAGATTACACAGTGCTGTTGGAACTCTGATTTTTAACACGTGGACAACAATGCAGAGTCCAATATCTAATTATTGTCTTCGCAGTAACAATGAAGACATGGTTTGTCAGAAAAGGTTAATATTACATACAACCAGAGCCCTCAAAAATGACAGGATTCTATGTATCTGAAGTAACCTTCAGATGCAAAAGGACTCATAATCTGGAAGTGATGGAAAATCGATCAGGGATCCTTTTAAGCTACTTTATGATCTTGTGCAGTAATATGTTAGAAATGATGAGTTAAAATGGCAGAATCAGTTATTTTGGAACTGCACCTTATGAAGCACCTTTTCACCGGGGTCTCCTTTCAAAAAGACAAAAAAAAAGAAAATTAAACAAACCTTTAACACATGTTGGTTTGTTGACAGTGCTCTTTGATCCCAGTCCTAACTGGCCCCAGTCGTTACTGCCGAACATGTAGAGTTTACCTTTCCCTGAAAGAGGAACAGACAGAACCCATACAAATGTTTGAATGCCTCATTCAAGACAAGCTGGTCATTCACACGCTGTGCTATTAATTATTTCCTTTTTAATGTAAGGTTTAAGATTAGGCAATTCAATACTTAAGTGTAAACAATAGTTAATATCCTTGTGATTTTTCAGTTCAAAAACATTAATTGCATTGTTTAAGTAAGAAGGAGACAAAAAGCAGAATGAACACCCTTCTCCTTTAATTACAACACAGATAAAGTGCTCTTCAGAAAACAACATGTTGTACTCTTGGACAGACCCTGCAGTTCAGAAACCACAGTATCTATAGGCCTCTTTATAAAATAACAGCACATTTAACTGAGCACCCACATCTTTTATTCCAAAGACAGGAGTGAATAACACAGGTTTATGACTAATAGAAGCACAAATTTGTAATATTCAGCTTGATTGTTTAGGGTGGAATATTTTTTTTACTGCTAAATATTTTCCCTTAAAATGATTTACAGAGCTGCATTTCTACGGAATATAGTTTCTGATAAATATTCAGATGTGTTCACAAAGTGTATTAATTTGTTACTCTGCATATAAAGAAAGAAAGCATAAATCCACCATGCAGTCAGGGAGTTTTGTAAAGCTAAAAGCATTAGGTTACAAATCTTCAACAGAAGCAATGCTAGAATTGTCTTTCAGAAATTTGTATGACCTGTCATTGAACTTTCAGGTTTGACCATGACAAACAATGTACTGTTGTAACTAAATAATCAGAATTTTTTGAGGGTGGTATATGAACAGATGAAAATTTTGTCATCAGACATGCAGATTAGACAGCCCAAACTGACTACTGACAATACCTTAAAATTAATGCATTTAATTTCATTTTGTAAACTATTACCTGCTGTAAAGCTGTAAAATTCCCACAGAAAGATAAAACCCTTGTTCCAACAGAAATCTTTGCAAAACAATAGAAACTAATTTGTCAAAATAAAAACCAAAACAAACAAAAACCCCAAAACAAAAACAAGACTCCAAACAAACACACACACCCCCAAAACCCAAAAACAATAAAAAAAACACCCTCCTACAACTGATAAAAGGCGTTTGTTTACTTTTGGTGAAGGACTGCAGAGCTTTGTGAGTTAAGACTCCATCATAATGTTGTCACCCTAGCTACCAACAATTATCACATGATCACAAATGCCCAACAGCAATTCCATATAGTAATGCCAAAATTATGTCTGTAACTTCAGTAGTGTAGGTTTCCCGTGAAGAGTCTGAATGTGATTTACAGAGACTTTGAAATATGACATTGAAATGTTTTAAATATAACAAAAAATTCATCTTCTAATATTATTCTAATCCATTTATTTTCTTAAGTATAACTGCATAATTTAAAAAAAAAACTAAAAACAAGCAAAAAAACCCACCCCACCAACCATTAACAATATTTGCTATCTAAAGTCCCAATCAAACTGCTAGATCTGACAATTCTTGGCACATGGGGCTATGTGTCAATATTATGTCTTTCCAATAAAACTGGAAGGGAAGGAGGTCTGAGGTCAAGTCTGCACTCACAGCATTCTACTAATAGCATTTATATCACCATCTCAATTTTTATAATGCAATCACATCAAAACACAGGCAGAGCTGTCTGTCACTGAGAGCAAACACACCTTAACAGAAAAAACTTTTATTAGCAAATGGCATCCATCCTATATTGGTACTGGTTTCTTGTATCCTTGCTTTATACTTGCTAACTGCTTTTATAAGACAGTAGTACTTCTGTGGGAGTATGATGCCAAGCTGCCCTAATTCAATTTAAGCACATTCTCTTTTATCCATGCAAAATTCAAACAGGTCATGCTTTTCATCCTATAATCTGCTGTTTCTTATACGAGTCTTTAAATTCTCAGGCATTGCTTTGTAAGTCAAGAGGCTTAATAGATGAGAGGAATTTTTTTTACAACTGAGTGACAGCCTTTTATAATTTTAGGCTTCCTAGCAGTATAACAGAAAATAAAAAATCTGGGAGGCAGGTAATTCAGACATTGAATGAAAACTAAGAGGCACTACAGAGGAACCTGAGATTAGCTCCATTGGTTAATACTCGGTGCTAATAATGCCAAGGCCACACATTCAATCCCCCTGTATGGGCCATTCATTTAAGAGCTGGACTTGATGACCCTTGCCAGTCCCTTCCAACTCAGAATATTCTGTGATTCACAAAGCTGATTTAGTAACAGTGGTGAGAAACCTAAACAAATGCCTGTAATGAAGCAACATTTCTGGGTCTGTACAGCAAGTCAGGTTTTGGAACAGATATGATGCAATCTAAACTGGCCAAGGAATATGACATAATGTTGCATGCAAAAGGCACTATTTTCATAACTGCACACTGAGATAACTCCAGTCATCACCACAGATGCACTGAAGTGAGAATTAATCCAAGAGTAGACAAAAAGGCAAGGACCATATTCCAAAACTTTGTAAATTAAGATTGCTCTTGGTTTTTTTGCTTCTGCTTGGGTGCTCTCATCCAGAGATTGTGGCCATCTGCCAGCTGGAATGGCTGGCACAAGACAGGTTCAGCAGAGTAAGACTATGACTCTGAGCAGACAGGAAACAGCAGGATATAACAAAAAGGATTACTCTGACTGTTTTAGTGATGAAAACTCACTTCCAGTACCAGTTTCCATCTTAATCCTGACACAAAACTGGAGCGTTTCTCCGAAGTGTGAATGCAGGGGCAGGTACACCAGCAGATGTCTCACCAACATCAATTCAGGGCTTTTAGGGAAGCCACAAGACACATCTCTAGGACCAGAGAGATTTCAGGAGGCGAGTGTCTCCTAACCAGTACATTTCCATGAGTAGCTGCTATCACATTCCTGGGAATCCCATCAGTCACGTGCTCCTCGGGGTCATGAAGTGCTACTAAAGGCACTCACTTGGCAGCTGGGAAATACCAGCTGAAATCCCATATGCTTCATCAGAGCGGGCTGCCAAGTATTCCTGTCACCTGTGTTTAAAGGTATGTGTTACATATTCCCCCCTTTGCTTTCTAAATTATATTAGTGTGAGAGAGAAATAAGATGGGGAGACCACGAACAGACTTTGAGCATTTACTACAAGATTCTATTGAGAAACTATATCTAAACAAAAGAATATATGCCAGGCACCATGATTTTTTTGTGCCTTTTTTAAAAAATTTTGTGGGGTTTTTTTATGCTATTTTGTGAATAAACTATGTTAACAGTTAATTTAAAATCCATATACAACTCAAATAGTTCTCTGAAAAACAGGAATGACATCAGTTTTGTTAGGCAAGTCATGATATTCTCAAAATAAAAACTTTATTGAGCAACAAGAATAGTCATGCTTAGGACATTTATCATCACACAAACAAAAATAGTGCATCAACACAAACGTGTACTAATCTTTTCTCATTCTCCCCTTGCAGTTGATGGAAAAGATACTCTGCCATGTGCTGGTAAGCAGAAACAGGAGAAGAGATACAGTGTCAAAAGACCTGGAGAGATTCCAAGGTCTCTTGTTGAAGGTTTAATGCCTTTCAAAACCCAAAATGATGAGTATACTATCTTCTTGTGGTTCCATATGCACCTCTTTCCACGCCTACTTTCAAAATTGATACTTCTTTCTTTCCTTCTACCCTCTTGCACTGGGGTTTCAATTCTCTCCAGAGCACTGAGTTCAGAAAACGTGTCTTCTTTCATCACCATTTTCCCCCCTGTGAACAGGATCAGTCTCTGATCAAATGTGGGCACGCTGCCTAGGATACTCTAGTCAAGGCAAATAAACAATAAGACAATCGTTAACTTAAAAGTTCTGTCAGAAGGACAGTTAATAGACAGGCATTGGAAAGAGATTCTTAAAAGTATATGTATCATCACTTCTTCACACCAGCTCCCAAGAGGCTGAATAAATTGCTTTACAAAGCCTGCAGTTATAGAAGATGCAGGGAATGGACTGTCAGTAGTCCTGGGTCAAAAAGTACAGAAATGGGGCAAGAATCACTATTAAACATGTTACAAGTGATGCTCGAAGATGTCACTGCTCGTGACTTGTGTTACAGACCTAAAGAAGACCACTGCTTTAAAAAATTCCTGCTTGAACATTTCAATGATGTTTATGCTAATAGGAGACAGCAAATGAATAAAGAAACACAAATTTCAAACTCCAAAACTGGAGAAGGAAACGTTTCTTCAACTAACTCAGCAAGTCAACTCAAAGCCAGCAAGTAACTATCACTGGTTCTCTCTATTCCAACATACAGCCAGAGCATGTAAATAAATTTTGGACTCTTAACTCCCGACATAGAAAGCCAAAAAACAGAGTGCTTTATATTTACTTTTCTTCATAGAAGTCAAACAGGAATATTGATGCTGGATTAGATGAAAGAAGTATTTGAAAGGCTCTGAATATTTTGTTTGAATGCTAAATACTAGTTCTTGTACATTATATTCATTAGTATTCAGTCAAGACTCAGTGCTAGATATACCTGTCTCTCCTGCCCAAATCCAGCATAAAGGAATGTCTTGTATCAGTTTGTGTGATTGTTTTACTTATGATTGTTGAGACATGTTAGTGTCAAATTGACACATCTCTATCAGATTTGAACCTACCTCATATTTCTATGGAACCCTACAAATATAGGTCCCACTCCCTCTCCCAAGGTGTGGAAAAAAAAAGAGGGAGAATTTTATGACCTGTAAATAAAGACTGAGAATAAAATGAAGCATGCATTAACACACACCTGCTTGAGACACTTTTCCTTCCTCGGTGATGTTTTTTATCTCTTCCAGGCCAGGTTCAGCTGAAGAAACTCCTGGTTTCCCACAGGGCCTGTACCCTTCTCAGTAAACTCAGTATTGGCACGCACCTCTGGAGTGTTTATTCCAGGTGTTACTGCAGTTCAGTGTCAGTCACCAAGGGCTGTAATTCCACTGTATCATCCAACTCCATCTAACAGCAGAAACGTGAGGTGCACATGGGCATGCACAGGTGTGAAGAACAAATGAGGGACAATGGTTTTCTCTTCCCCTTCTTCACTTCTTTCATACGACTCTTGTGGTTTCTCTACCTTTGCTCGTCGTTGATCCATACTTTACCCTCACTTTTCCCTCTGCTTTACAATGACCCAGAAAACATTTTGGTACCTAAAAAGCTTTTTACTCATGCTTCTGTAGTTCCTTCTTCTCAAAAGCTTTGAGAAAATAAGGAGCTGATTATCTAGAAGCTTCCCTGGAGATGTATCTGCTCACTACAACAGCTAAGGAGAGCTAAAGAGACATTTTTGAAACATATATTAAAACAACGGGGGAAAGGGAAGACAGTAGAGGACTGGTGCTGCATGCAAATCTATGTAAGATGACTTCTTCAAAAGCTTTATCTAAGTGGTCACTATTACAGTGATTGATTAGGGTAACAGTGCTGGCACAGGCACATGCTAGGAGGCAACTTAAATCAACTACTTTAAACAGAAAATTGCACCAGTGTTACTTCAAACTGGGTATGGGCATATAAAAGCACATACAAGAATAAAATTCAAAAGGAAAATATCACAGTGCCCCAGGTTACATCTGGATTAATTTTATGGAACAGGCAGTTGAATATTACTGGTTCAATCCAAGAAAAAGTGTAAAGTTTTGTTCAAAATAAACTATTAATGTATAATTTGTATTCTATGAAGTTAGGCTTGAAAAATTAGTTGTGTAATTTCACCTCAAGATGTCCTGCAGTCCATGAAATCAACAGTCTTTTCTATCATGTCTGGAAGAGTTCTTTCTAAAAATCCAGCATCTTCAATGCTGCTTTCAAACATTGCAAGAAACACTCAAGAAACTATTTAATAAGCAATGACCAATTGGCTATTGATGAGGAATAACTACATTCCAATTTAAAAATTTCTGAAAATACACATATAAATTTTATAACAATGAAGTCTTATTATCTATCAGCAGTAGATTGTCAACACAATTGACACACATGCTCACCAACAGAACAGTAATCCCTTTCATGTAGAATAAAATGATCAAATTTTTTAATCTGTACTGTCTCCATCATTTCAAGGATACTAAAATAAACATTAATAACGCTCACTGTATTACATCAGAGTTTCTTTGAATGTTTTTTCCATTTACTTCTCTTTTTTGTAGGATTTTCTGAAGTTTATTGAGTTGCTTTTTCAAGGGTTATTTTCATCTAACAGTAATCAGTAATTCAAACCTTCATCTCAGAGATACAATTGTATCTCTTGTTTCAAACAGATTTCTAGCGAACTTCTTGAGGGTGTTCAGCAGATACTGTTACTTCCAAGATACAATATATCTAACAGACTAAACATTGTCAGATTCACAAGATACATTCAACCTGAACAAAGTCATACCTACTTTAAATCCTGTGATACATTCAGTTATTATAAACTCTCTTAAGACAGTTCTTGGGCACGTCTTGTGAAAACCTGGAGTAACCTCAGGGGAACTCTAAAGGCATCCAACAGTTCCCACAGAACAGTCCCCTCTCCTCTCCACAAACTCATTTATTACCTCAGGATTCAAATAAGATTCCTAACTTTCAAAGCTGTCCAAATACATATCCTTTTATCACATGGATCACCCTCACTACAAGAAAGCCCTTGAAGTTCTGCAGGGTGTCCAAAGAAGGACAATGAGGCTGGTGAAGGGTCTGGAGCACATGTCCTGTGAGGAGCAGCTGAGAAAGCTGGGGTTGTTTGGCCTGGAGAAAAAGCAGCTCAGGGGAGACCTTATGGTTCTCTACAACTACCTGAAAGGAGCCTGTAGCCAGGTGGGGGTCAGTCTCTTCTCCCAGGTAACAAGTACCAGGATGAGAGGAAATGGCCTCAGGTTGTGCCAGAGAAGGTTTAAATTGGATATTGGGGTAAATTTCTTCACTGAAACAGTTGTCAAGCAGTGGAACAGGCAGCCCATGGAAGTGGTGGAGTGCTGGTTTAATGGCTGGGCTTGATGATCTTAAAGGTCTTTTCCAACCTAAACAATTCTATGATTCTACATGCTCCATTTCCAATACTGACCTGTAATAATAGCGGTATGTTCATCTCCACATGATATAAGTACAGGTTTGTCATTTTTGAACCAGAACTTGCTAGGAACATCTTCTGCAAATTTGCTTCTCCCAAATGTGAAAACAGCACCTGATTCTATAACACAGAAATATAATGTCAATTTTAGTGAAAGCAAATTTTGCCTCATATATTTTGAAATAGCTATGTTCTATCAAATTAACTGAACAGTTTATTTTCCTGTATTTCTCTTCTTTCTTCTCTCAGCCTTCAAAACATGGGTTGGTACAACTGTTGTTTCACCTGAACATGAGGAAGAACTTCTTAACTGTGAGGGTGACAGAGCACTGGGACAGGCTGCCCAGAGAGGCTGTGGAGTCTCCATCTGCCTGGACACAATCCTGTGTAACCTCTTCCAGGTGACCCTGCTTTAGCAAGCGGGGTGGACTAAATGATTTCTAGAAGTTCCTTCCAACTCCAGCCATTCTGTGACTCTGTGATAAGACCACAATCAAAGAAACTCTAACAAAACCACCCCAAAATAAAGTCCAGGTAGCTCTTCTGCTCTTGTTATCTGTCTGGTTTTCTTAATTCTTCCCACTTTCAAAAGTGTCAGCAATGTTGTTTCAAAACACAGAATGTTAACTATTCATTCAGCTTTTGGTTAAGCATGTGGCTTGACACAGAAAATACTAATTCTACATAATAATGAATGGACTTACAAGTTAAATAATTTGCCAAAAGCCACACAGAAAACGTGGCAAAGGACAGGTAGACCTACTATTTTAAAATGTCAAAGCCTGTAAAATTTTTGTTAACATGTAACAAATGTTAACAAATACACATAGTAACAGTAGACTGCTTCTGAAAATTACATGGAGACATCTTAATGGAATAAATTTCAATGAAAACAACCTCATCAATAACATACACCGCAGCTCCAAAACCCAGTTTAAGTTCTCTCTTAAACTGTAAATTTCATATCATTTAGAAGTAATTATTTTGTGCAAAAGTTTCCCCTATTTCCAAAGACATGTTATATAATGGATCAGATGCAGCAGATACGTATAAATTGTATTTCTTACCTCACTTGCTCAACAAGCTTTGTGCAAGCAAACTCAACCTTTTTAAAAAAGAGTTGAGTTATTCTTTATTTTATCTAGACACACCTACAACCACAGACATACTAAACGTCATCTGAAAACTCTGTTTTATGTTTTAATCTCCAGCCAGACAGCCATGCAGCACATCTGAACATTTGACATTTGTGCCATAGAGCTCTGTGATTCATTTCTTTTCCTTAAGCAGGGTTAACATGAAAACATAAGTATACTCTTCGTCACTGCATACAAAAAGCTGTCGAACTTACAAACGTCCTTTGTATTTTGTTCATTTCATAACTAAGCCACAGCATTTCAAAACTGGACACAGCTACTGTGTCCTCATTAAAACAGAGGGCTCCTCATTAAAATAGGGGCATCGAGGTCCTGGAGTCGGTCCAGTGGAGGGCAAAAAGGATGATTGGGGGACATAAGGATCTCTCTTATGATGACAGACTGAGGGATTTGGGCCTGTTCAGCCTCAAGAAGAGACAACTGAGAGGGGACCTCATCAATGTCTATAAATAGCTAAATGGGGGGGTGTCAGAGCATGGACCAGGCTCTGCTCAGTGGTGCCCAGCAACAGGACAAGAGGCAACAGGTAGAAACTGATACCCAGGAAGTTCCATGTGAACAGGAGGAAGAACTTCTTTGCTGTGCAGTGACCGAGCACTGGAACAGGTTGCCTAGAGAAGGTGTGGAGTCTCCCTCACTGGAAATATTCCAGAACCGTCTGGACACAATTCTGTGCCACGTGCTCTGGGATGACCCCGGTGGAGCAGGGGGTTTGCTGTGGTCTCTCCCAGCCCGACCTATTCTGTGATGTGCCGTGAAGCCATCCGCTTGGAAACCGAACCCCATCAACTCGCAACACTAAATCCCACGGGACATAAACGAGTCGCTTGTTGTCCGGGGCAACGAGCGAATGTTTGAACATCGCCTCGGGGCAAACCACGACACAGACTAATTATCAATTCTCGGTATTAACGGAGCCCCCCCGGTGCCCGGCGCTGCCCCCCTGCCCCCGCCGTGCCGATCTCTGACGGCAGCGGACGCGCCTCTCCCCACACGCCGGACGGCCCCGGCCCCGCCCGCCGCCCGAACGCGGGGCAGAGCGGTGGGGGCGGGCACGGGCATGGGCGGCCGGGTCCCCCCAGCCGGGCCCCGCGGGACCGGCCGCACTCACCGGGCACGGGCAGCTCGTCCCCCGCGGCGGGCGCGGCCATGGCGGCCCGAGGAGGCCGGGCCGGGCGGGGCCGGCGGGGGCAGCGCCGCCTGGCGGCCGGAGGGGGGGCGGCACCGCGCCCTCAGAGCCCGCCCCGGAGCGGCCTGGGCCCGGAGCCGGCGCTGAGCAAGCGACGGAATCACAATCAATTGGGCTGGAAAAGCCCTCTGAGATCATCGAGTCCAGCCTGTGGCCGAACACCACCGTGTCAAACAGACCATGGCACTGAGTGACACGTCCAGTCTTTTCTTAAACACCTCCGGGGACGGTGACTCCACTGCCTCCCTGGGCAGCCCGTTCCAATGTTTAATCACCTTGCATGTGGATAAATTCTCCCTAATGTCAAAACTAAACTCCCCTTGGCACAGCTTAACACTGTCTCCTCCTGTCCTGTCACTGACTGCCTGAGAGAAAGAGGTTGAACCCCACCTGGCTACACCCTTCTTTTGGGGAATTGTAGTGATAGGACAGGAGGCAATGGCTTCAGACTGAAAGAGGGTTGGTTTAGACTGGATATATGGAAGAAATTTTTTGCCATGAGGGTATCGAGGCACTGGAAAAAGTTGCTCAGAGAAGCTGTAGATGCCCCATCCCTGGAAGTGTTCAAGGCCAGGCAGGACCCTGAACCACCTGGTCTAGTGGAAGATGTTCCTGCCCACGGCAGGAGGGTGGAACTAGATGAGCTTTAACATCCCTTCCAACCTGAGTCATTTTGTGATTCAATTATAAGAATCACTCTCCTTGAAGGCCCCTTGCAAGTCTTAGCTCTATCAGAAGTTTGCTTTCTTGGCAGCATCCCTACATGCTGGACATCTTATACCCTCCTGCTTTGTAGTCTGACTGTGCCTGCAGCTCCCAAAGGAGCCATCTCTCACTGGGGCTCCGTCTTGTGCTCCCTGCTTTACCAGGCTCCTGGCTCAGCTGTTTGTTTGCTGAGTGATTGGCGAAGCTGCCCTGCCTCAGCTGGGGGAGCAGAACATAGCTCTGAAACTTTGTTTTGTCAACACTGTGATTCTGTGGTTCTAAAAGGCAAATTTCCTCTGTTTGATGATCTCTTTCACCAGAATGTTTGTGTAAAGTCTTCCGATTAAGTGCACAAGATTCAATCACCCACCCAGTGATTCTGGGTAGGGCAGTTCCAGATCCCACTGAAATAAATCCAGGGGCTTGTACACTTTTAGCCTTATTTCATGTGTAGTCCCAAACTCCCAGTGGAGCTTTTCCTTCCTGCCAAAAAAATCTATGGTCATTTATGGAGTTCTATTTTCTTGCTATTCCCATGTATTTCTGGTACACCAGGTCATCCCTTGCTGAAAGACAAAGGTCTTGTTTTCAGGATGATGTACTGCAACAGGGACTGCAGCAGGCAGCCTGGACAACCAATTTCAGGCTTGTTTTATGCAGAGTTTAATCAATAGAGTAGTTTGTGCATAAGATGATGTATCCATACAACTACACACAAAGAGGAGTGGCCACATTTTCAAAAGGAAAAAGAAAGTGCTTGATTTTTGCTCCTGCATGAGGCAGGGATTTCATCTCTTTGAAACCAAATATCCTTCTGATGCTTTCTGCCCTAACTGCTTCTCCTAAGTCTGAAGGGAGGGGATATCCATCAAAAGCTGTTCAAAATAAAACTGAACAAACATTGTTCTACAAAGTGATGCCTGAGATTGTAGTTACCAGATAGTGTGATTGCCAAGAATATAAATAGGTTATGAAACAATGAGCAAGATTCGTAGAAAGAAGGTGTCTGCAGCAGGGTTTTGGTTTCTGGGGCTGTGAGATCCTCTTTGAAGGTCAACATGTAGTTGGGAGAGATGGGAGCCACCTCACAAAGTTGGACAAATGTATCTCTGCTGGTAGGATGGTTGAGCTGGTAAGGAGGTCTTTGAACAAGGAATGATGGGTGAAGGACAGAAGTCTTCACTGGCCAACACTGCATGCAGGATAAGTGGGAAAGACTGTTTATGGAGTGGGCATTTGCTTTTGGGGTTGGATGACCACTGCACGTGGATGAAGCAGAAGTTGTACTTACAGGAGTCCAGTAATGCCCTGTTGTCCCATGTGTCCAAGCAGACATGTATTGCTGGAAGATGATCTTGCTGTGGGCACGGTGAGGTGCAGCAGGTTGGGAGCTGCTGACTCTCAGAGGTGCCCCAGCTGTTGCAGCCCCATTCTCCAAAAGAAAAACAGCAAGGCCTGGCCCTTCCTCAGGGTGGGAGATTGGGAAGAAAATGAGCTGTGGAAAGACATTGCCTTCCCAAGGTGCTTCCAAAAGGAAGCAGCATGGGCACTCTTGGTGTACTGCCCCGCAGCCACTGATGTATGACTGCTTTGCCTACCCTGACTGCTGCTTGCCCTCAAGAAAGGAGGTGTCAAGGGTCAGTCTCCTGCAAGCTCAGAGAGTAAGAAGGCCTTCTGTTCGTTACATTAGATGACTATATGAACATCATATTCCTTTCTGACCACAGGCATCTATAAAGCTTCGTCCCTTCCTCTTAGGAGTGGGATGCAACACTTGCTCACAGGAGCTGACAACGAAATTGGTCCATGTGGTAACTGGATCAGGCAGTCCCTGTACAAGGGTGTAATGCTAGTTGTCCTAGTTATGTCCCCTCCCAAGATCTTGCCCACCCCCAACCTCCTAATGGGGGGGAAATTCAAGTAACAGCACTGATGCTGTGCCAGCACTGCTCAGCAGTAGCCAAAAAACTCTCTCTGTTATCAACACCTTTCTAGCTGCAAAGCACAGCACTGTGAGGGCTGCTGTGGGGAAAATGAACTCCATCTCAGCCAGATTCAATACAAGGGGTGATCTTAAAAAGGAGTACTAGCACTATTCCCTCCCTGTTGGACTGTAAAATGAGACTGGAGGCCTTGGCACCTTGGCCACATTTCCTTTCTCTGCTGTTTTTTCTCCTGGGTGTCGCTAACAGAACATGTACAGTCTGCAGGGGCTGGATTTGAAGATCGTGGGAGTCATTTGAGGAGGAAAACCAGGAGGGAAACCATGGCCCAGCTTTCTTCTCTTTCTTCTATTTAATTTCCTTCTTATTAATTTCTGTTGGATTTTGCTTCTGCCTGACATTTCCCATGGCAACTGCTGCATTTTCCAGGCATCTCAGGGTTGGTTTGGCGTGAGGGGTCCTGAACAAATCCCACCAGGAGCTATCACCCTGTATAACTTTTTCACAGCTGTCTCTCTTTCTGGGGAAGTCAGACCTTTTCTTCTGCATGTTTTAATTATATGTTCTTCACATTGCAATTTCAACATATCACTCTCTCTGACAGATATACCATCACCTTGATTTACACTAGTATACCTCTTCTTACGCAGAGGAGGAAATGAGAAAGTAATGAGGAAATGAGAAAGTAATGGCCATATTTCAAAACCACCTACAGTGCAGGTGGCATAAAGTCTTGTCTGACAATTATATTTGAAAGTAGAAATTTAAATTAAATCCCTTTAGTATTTAGCAATTGACCAACTTCAGATTATATAGCAAGCAGTTTAGCATAAGGAGGTAAGCAGGCTGCAATATTTCAGTTTCTGGGCCCCACTGAGGGCTGTTTAACTCTACCATAGCACAGTTGAAAACTTCATCCAAAAAAAAACCCCAGGAAAATGTACATTTTTTAATGTAGCTGTTCTTCATTTTTGTCAGGGCCCTGAGGGCACAAATAAGCCTTTATGCCCTGCCCAGCTCCACATCCCGGGTCCAGAACCCTCCTTTTGGCTCAGTGCAGGGCCATCAGTCCCTGCCTGGGCTGTGCTAGAGATGAGGAGCCCCCATGGGCACAGTCTCATCCCTAGGGGAGCTGCCCTGCTAATGCTGCATCCTAAAAGTCTTCTTTTACATTTTTCTACTAGCATGTGCTCCTGTACAAATATTTAACAAACACAAAATAGCTATAAAATGGTATTGACACAGGTGTGATATGATGGGCAGAAGAGCACAAACTGCAAGTGGTGCAATGGGCTCTGTGAGAAATCTCTGTACCTGTAGGGTTTGACCAAGGAAGGGTTTCAGGGTCAGCCCCTGCCTGGCCCAGCCCTGTCTGGGACAGCCAGAGTGAAGACCTTGGTTCTTGGCTTTCCCTCATTTGCACAGTAGCACAGCTCGCTCTCTGCTTCATACTCCTTTCTTTCTCCCAACTTTGTGGGACCTGGCGTAAGTCTTAATACAAATGAGGATGCTGTTTAATGTGAGGAGCTTTGTCAGCATTGCAAAACTAACAGGGACCAGGAGGCAGCTGCTGCGACAGTTCTGGTAAGCTTATCCTTTGATTTTATCTGGTGTTCTGTGACATTTGACCAGAAACCTGGAGACAAAACCAGCTGAATCCTGTGAAGGAGTGAGTGTTTCAGAGAAAGATGTTGCATTTTTTGCCCTGCCTTTTTAGTGCCATTTTGCCCCTCAAGACACCAAACTCTGTGACTTTGGGAGACTGGAGAATTATCCCTTTTAAGGTTTGTGGAATATCATTAATACTTTCTGTGCGATTTAGCAGCAAGTTCAGGAAGGAATGTTTCTTCTTGAGTTCAGTGTACACTGTAGGTACTGTAACCAATAACTATGTGAATAAATAACTGGAAATTCTTCATTTAGACAATTATCATGGATGGTACGGAGGGAAATTCTCTCACTGAAGCTGCAAGCTGAATCTCTACCTTGGTATATTTTTGTCTCTGTATACACTGGAGGCATGCAGGAAAAACATGATGTGATACAAGGTTCACAGTTAAGCAGGTAGACCTACCTCTGTGACCTGCCTTTGGGTTCTTTCCTCAGCCACATAGCTGTGCCCGTCCCCTGTGACTTCAGAAAAGTACCCTTTTGACTGTGTTTTAGCAAGGTACTTCTTATGCTTATCACATCTCCAGAATCAGGTTAAAATTTTAGACTTGAAACTTAATTCCACATCTTCCTCTGTTTTTAGGTCAGAGTCAATAAGGATAACATTAACAGGTTATGTAACAAGTGATTAATGCTAGAAAACAATGTACAGGAGTTTCATATTCCCAGGAATCCTACTATGCAATAAGTACTTTTTATTTAGCCTTTCTCCATTGCATTAGATGAAAAACAGATGCTTTCCAAGTCATGTTATTTGTTTGCTCCAATTTCAAAGAGGTCCTGAAGCCTGGGTGATAATCTATTTTATGAATTATTGATTTTCACTGCTGGCAATGGGTGGGAACTTTCTCTGGTTAACAGAGATGATAGAAAAGCAAGTTTGGAGAACAACTGCAGTGAAAGCTGGTTTTCCAAGGAAGTAGTACAATTTGTTATGTTCCCCACATAATATTGTTTGGTGTTTTTAGGGGGTTTTAACACAACATAATGCTGACATGAGCTATCACCACTGGCTGTGAGCATTACTAGCTAAGCACATTGTAGTTGATGCTGCAGGATAACCGTATCTCTCTCAGTCTGTGCTGAGGCCAAAGTTACTGTTGTCCCTGCTCAGAAAGCAAGAAACCAAAACTGCTTGACCTTGCAATTTGCCTGTTACATTTTAACTTTGGTATGTTGTCTCATGCTTCTTCTCTGGAATTTATTTGTCCACTTCTGCCTCTCTCTCAGAGGATATAGAAAGCAGGGAGGAGAACATATTTCTTGAAGGTCATGGCAATAAAACAAAATCATCATGGGAACATACATGGCAGGAGCAGAACTCTAGTCCATAGCCTGTCAAACAGCATATGAGATCAGCTATGTCTTTACTTAGCCACATCTTGAAAATCCTCAAGGATGGCATTTCCACTCTGGGTAACCAGTTTTAGTGCTCTACTGTCTACCAGCACAGAAATTAGTGGTGAATATTTCTCAATCATGCCAAGTGGTGAAACAAGACCAATGAACAGAAATTCTTGCTTGGTAGATTGAGATCAGATGATCTGTAAGTCACTGGAAGGAATCATAGGTTGCAATTAGAAGTACAAGCAGCAACACCAAAGCTGCTCTGGAAACAATGCAGCAAAGGAGAGCAGGGTGACCAAGCACCAAGCAATCACAGATTTCAAAAGAGGACAAGTCTATTTTTGTTCCCCCAAACTGGATAGAACAACATATCCCTGTTCTGAAAAATAGTAGTAATAAAGTCACTGATTTCCTTCAGAATATACACAATGAATTTAGAGCCAATTACTTGAATATCAGCTAAAAGCCTTGGTCTTCTAGACTGGATTTCAGCGGCTTATCTTAGTGGGCTCTTTTTCATGCTATGGTGGAAACTACCTGACCCAAGAATCCCCAGCCTTTCTTATAATGCCAGGTATATCCTATACTGCAGATTCGAACGTTGAAGTACAGGATATAATTTTGTTAGATCTGTAAAAGTCAATTCAAATTAAAAAAAAAAAAAAGGGCACATCTGCATGCTTCTTAACTGATTATAAGTTGTTTGCCTCAGGTTGGAAGCAAGTATGGGGACAGAAGGATAACACTTATAACAAATATATAACTTTATTTTCCCAATTATTGTAACACTATGTAGAGAGGTCTTTCTGTCTTTGAAATGTACATTATTTTAAATGGCACTGCCACAAATATTTATTACTTAAGTCACACACAGACTTTACATTGCATTTCACTTCAGAATCAATTTTCAGAGACACTCTTGGAAAATACACAGACAACATTACTCTAAAATTAGGAAAAAATAAATCCACTTGTTTATCTGCATGGTATTAGAGAAAAACCCAGCCCTCCTGCAGTTTGGGGACCTGTGCAGAGACCAGATTCTGATGGTGCACACTGATGGGAATCTTCATAGTGTTTTCTGCTCAGCTTAGTGGTGGATCCTCTGGAAGTCTGTATAATGTCTGGAGCACATTGCCCTGATAAATAACAGCATATACTGAATTCCAGCAATATTAATCTGCAGGGCACATGCATGGGATACTTCTTCATATATTCTCCATGTTTCTGCTTTTACATGTATTTCTTTTCACTGTGAAAAATTCTCTTAATAATGGCAGTGGTATAATGTGTATCTAATGTACTTTTAAGGTGTCCAGAAGGAAAACACACAGCATTTAGACATCTCAAGTTTAAGAAGGACTTCTGCTGCTTTATTTGAAAATTCATGCAGCTTTTACTGTGATGTCAAATAGAGAGTAATAATGTGTGGTACCATTCCCTTAAGAGCTGCTCTCTTCCTCCAGTTCCAGTTGGAGTCTATGCCACAAAATTCTGCCGAAAAAACTTCCCCCCAGATTTAACTAATATATGAACACAAAATCTTTAGAAATTATAACAGGCATATCCACTTCCAAGAATTTTATTCATTGTAATTAACAGAAGAATGAACAGAAATCTTTTTTCCCCTAAATTTTCCTAGCTGTGGACTCCAGGGCTTGGCAATTGGCAGGTGCTGTCACTAAGCCCAGTCTCAACGGCGAGCTGTGGGGAAGCCTACTTGTAACACAAAAGTAATAGCTGTACTCAATCCACTTGTTTGCATTGTTTTGATCTCCATTCCATTAGATCAGCCTAAAAATGCTGCCTTTAATTAGAAAGACATGTTTAGCTCACACTCATCCAAACCAAGAGTACAGTGCAGTACAGTGCAGGCTGTGTAGTGTTAAGGAGGCTGTAAGTACTATGCTAGAGAAAGGGCTAAGCTGCCACGCTGCCTTATTAATCTTAATAAGGCCTGTGGAAACATGGGCTTGGATGTGACTTTCATTAAGATGCCTCATCTAAGCTAGAGGAAATTTGATCATGTAACTTCTCTGGGTGATTATCAGCGTCCAATTTCATGTGATTCAGAAGTTGTAAACCTGGCTGGAGACCAGAACACACAGAATAAACACACTGCACATGCCTGGAACATCTCCTGTATGCTACAAGAAGGACTAGATGACATGGCTATTTTGTTGGGGATTTTTATCCTCTTCCCCAGCGTAATCGACAGATTTCATACACATTTATATAGAAATGCCACCATTTGTGACAGTGAGGATGGAATGTGGCAAGTGTCCACTCATCCACAAAGCAAAAAGGAGGGAGGAGACGCACTAAGGCCCGTTTCTGTTATTCTGTCCCCCAAAAGGGCAGCTTTGTGGTCCCCACATAAGTTGTTTCATCACGTTCTGAATGGCTTTATTTGATAGCATGCAGTTGCCATGTGCATCTCAGAAGACAAAAGAAACTACATCTAATGTACAGTTTATAATACAATTTGAAACACTGTTACACTGGCGATTGATACAGCATGGAGTGGCATGTTTTGTGTTTGTCTGACAGCAGGAGTTATTTTAACTAATTAACACAGTCCATCAAGCTGATCCAGCTGGGTCAAATGAGAGGGGTGGGAGAGACTTCAGGTGCTTGCTCACTGGCTTTAGCATGAGTGCAACTTAGTGTTGATGACACAAAGCGAGTATTTTTGCCCTTTTGACACAGGTATGGGCCACCAGCTCAAATGAATGTTCATCTGAAAGGTCAGGACCTCCTTACTCTACAGAACTACACAGGAGATGAGCTGAAGTATTTGCTGTGGATGGCCTCAGATTTGAAACAAAGGATAAAGTACAAAGGAGAGGTAAAATGCTTTAACTGTCATTTAGGTCACTTAGATGTTGAAATAAATATTGTTCTGAAGAGCATTGGGAATGAGCCATTCAACTGTCTTGTCCTAGATAAAATCTCCTGAGCTCTTAAATACTGTAAATCATGTCTACAAATCAAAGAGCTTTCCTGTAAAGTGTTCAGAGATATTCTTTAAATACTTCAGAGGACTTCATTCAGTGGAAAGGTTAAACAGCTTTGTGCAGCCAACTCCCTTTTGTCAGCTAACCCCATCCATCCACACATGGTGCACACGCAGCACTAAATGCAGGAAATGGAAGACACTTCCCTGCATGGGATTAAATTAGTATCTGAGTTTTCCTTAATGCTAGCTCAAACTGAGTGCCAAAAGGTCATTAATTTTGCCCCTAGAATTACTTCTTTGTGTTTAACCTTTCCACTGCTAATAAACTTATTGAAGGGAGGGAGAACAAAGCTGTGGTTGAAAAAACAACCTGTGCAACTTTTCTAATGCTGAATTAAAATGTGAAAGAATAAGTATTTCATACTTTAAGTGTATAATGACTAAAAAATTGAAACACCTTCAATTTTCATGTTTCAGTATTTGCCTTTGATGCAAGGAAAATCTTTGGCCATGATTTTTGAGAAGAGAAGCACAAGAACAAGATTATCTGCAGAAACAGGTAGGTCTGAGCAATAGCACAGTTTGATTTTGTATAAAACTGTATGCAGTGAGTATGTTCTGAAAAACACTGCATAATTTTGTATTTAGCAATTTCTACTCAGGAGAAACCTAAACAATGGTATCTCATTGTCTTTCACCTCACATATTAAGGTCACAAGCACATTGTTTTGGTCACTGAAAATTTGCCAAATTATTCCAAAACACAACAGATCAGAAATAAAGTAACAGGTAGAAGGAAGCATTTCAGGTGCAAGCTCTTAGTTGTACTAGCAAGATGCACATTTCCTAACATCTGTTTCAGTAAGCATCACAAATTTAATTCTGTGCAAGCTCTAATAAATATTTTTGTAATGTATTATGCGTTACCATTTTCATATTTCAAAGCATTTGTTTAGGCTGGGAATCACAGTAATGTCTTGATATAAATTAGGGGAAAAATTTAATGTCATTACCTATAGGGGAAGATAACTTCATGGAGACTCCAGGGTATTAGCCTAATAAGATCAAGCACTGGAATATTATTCTTTTAGGATACAGTTCTGGAAACACTGAAACACACACATATGATGTCTTTATTTATATGGTAGTTGTTCTGAAGTCAGTGGGACTGCTGAAATAAATCATTCACGTACTTACATGTTAGCAAGCAATAACTATAAATTGGTGATACATCAAGGAAGATTCTCACATTCAAGCTGACCCAGCATCCCTTGGGCTGACTTCTCCCTAGTGAAGGGACAGGAAACCCATTGAGCATTCATATTTCTTTGCAAGATGTAAAGGCAAAGGTAAAAATAACAGAAGGAAAAAGCAGACATGGTAACTGCAAGTACTTCTGAATTTGCCTTTGTATTCTCTGCCACAGCAACTTGCTTGCTGATCATGCTCTTTAAGTAGACTTGTTGTTGCTTTCTGTTTTCTCCAGATAATCAGGACTTATGAATGTGCATTCATTCTCTGTGAAGACCACCCACCTTTTAATTCCTGAGTTTTTAGTCCAGTTTCTAGCTGCCTGCCTTAACGGTACATGGGCAGGTAATGAATTCTCTGAATCTGTTTATCCTTCGTTCTTCTGTATTCCAAGGGAAGTGCTACTTAGTCCTTGGATTTTGAAGGCTTATGGAAGGGGGAAGCTCAGGAAAGTTCAAATGAATTAACTTAAGTATGGGAGTTAATGCACATAAATTCATCCAAGAGGGATTAAGCTTCAGTGAAATAAAACCAATTTATTTCTGAGTGAGAGCTTCCACAAGGGAGTTTAATGCAGTTTAACTTCTGTGCATTAACTTCACACCTTCGGTTAATTGGTCTTAAGTCTCTTAAGCCTAAGACTTTGTTTCAAAGGCAGACTCTGTCTATGAAAACTCTACACATTTCAGCTGGTTTTTTAACATAAATGACTTCTCCCTTGGAATTTCTAACTCAAAACAAATGTGGGGCCACATGTGTTCCTTTTAGCTAAATAAGCTAATTTAAAACCAGTTTTCTAATGTCCTGTGAAAGTGGGCATTGAAATGGATTGGAGTGTTTATTTAGAAAATTATTGAGTTGTCTCAAATAGCACTTCCCATGAGTTACACCTTCAATATCTTGAAGGAGATCACTTGTGGTTCTAGTGATGAGATTAATGTAAACAAACTTTGTAACTCTCAGGAACAAATGAAAATCAGTGGGTTTCATTATAAAGGAGTAGAGACTTGGAAATCACTGATTACAAAATCTCCTCTGTGCAGGGTCTAGGAGATTGTTGTGACATATTAACACCATGGAAGTTTTTTTCTGAATTCCTGCTGTCCCTATGCCTATAAAGAACATAATTTTTTAAAAATAATAAACAAATTCACAGAGTGATTCTTTCCAGTATGTCCATGTTTCTCATACTGAAGAGCCCAAAGCTAAATACTTCAGGTTTGGCCTCACCTGTGCTGAACAAAGAGGAAAGATTCACCTGCTGGCAGTACTTTGTCTAGGATCTTGTGAGAGAGACACTGTCGAGGGACATGATGAAGTCCAGGCTGATGATTTTCTTATCTTTAATCTGTCTAGAAATGGTGTCCAGGATTAGCTGCTCCGTCATTTTCCCATGGATTGAGGTGGGGCTGGGTGGCCTGTATTATCTAGATTCTCCTTCTTGCCCTTCTTTAACTTAGGGGTGACATTTGTTTTCCTCCAGTCTTTGAGCATTTCTCCCAGTCATCAAGATTGATCAAATATTATCAAAACATTAACTGTAAGAGAGCAGTTGACATCTGTGGTTTTTCCAACATCCCACCTCTGAACTGTTGCATTCTGATGACATTGCAACTGTACTGAATAATGTACAGTTCCTTGGGGTATAATGCACGGCCTCTTTAATCTTGTCCTAAAGTGTATTTCTGAAGCTCATATTATTTTACCAATTCTAAGACTAGTAGTGATGTTATAAGTTTAATTCAGAACTACAAGTAACTTCTACAGAGTACTGGCAAAGTAAATCCAGTTTTGTGGAGCCTACTAGATTTATTACTATCACTGGCTACTATATTGGAAAATGTGACATCTCTACTATTGTACTGTACCTCTTCACAGTCAGAATCCCATACTCATTCTGTATAAAATCTTGTGTACTTTTTGAAAACAGAAATATTCCACATGCTCATATATTACTTGTAAAATAAACATCCTCAGGCATGGTATAAAGGTGAATGCCCTGTTTCTGTTATAACCTTGGTGTAAAATATTCTGATTGTCACTGTTGCTCTTAAAATATACAGCTGTAGTTATGTTTTAGTGAATAAGTCATAAATAAATCCAACCATTTCACAGATGCTGAATGCAGACAATATGTCACAGGGTAGAAATGGAGAGGAAACAATACAGGCAGGAAAGCCTTCTCCTGTGCACTGGAATATATAAGATCTTAACAGCTTTACAGAGGTTCACTGCCACTGGCTTTAATGGAATTACTCCCAACTCACTCCCCTTACACAGTGGGGTGAGAGGAACACAATGTCCATGCCTGAAGATTACTACACAAAGCCACAGAAATAATCATATCATTTCATAGGTACTAATGCAGCAGGGATGGTACTGCATGGCAGGAATGTAGGGTCTGTTTTCTTTTGGAATGTCCAACTATTATTTAGCTTGGCCATGTTACAAAGGGGCCAAGCACATTTAGCTTACTTTCCACTTGGAGGGGTAGCTTTAAAAAACTTTCAAAAACTGTCCATCAATTTTTAGGCTTCTGCTTTAGGAATATTCTGTAATTGATGCCTGCTATCAGTCTAAACTGAAAAATACTTTCTATTTCATAAGTCCTGGCAGGCAGTGAGGGAATTAATAAATGCAAATCCATATATCTTGAACTATTAAAAAAGATTCTTCCTTTGAGTTTGAGAAGATGACTATGTATGTCTCCAGGTAACAGTGAGGCAGCCCCACAGCTGTGTATCCAACATGTGAACTGTAGGATTCATTTTGGCCCACTTACCCCACATAGCAGGGACAGACTGGGATGGAGATTTCACCTATGTCTGTACACCCACCAGCACTCACGTCCTACATGAAGGAGTCTGCATAAGTGGGGTCAATAATGTATCACAGCACGAGGCATAAAACTGTGTATTTTAAAAACTAACAGTAGTGAGAAGGATGGACATGAGATGATAATCTATTCTGAATCTGCATTTTGAACATAAAGTTTTTTGTTGAAGATATTCATATAAACATTTAGCAGTGTATTTGATTATGGCCAGGCTGCGAAAACAAAGAGGATCAGATTTCGCAGTTTAACACAGCACTACAGTGTGTGCTTATTTGCTGGATTGTTGTCTGTGTATCTTCAAAAGTCATCATTATTTTCTTTCTACTAGTACTCTGGATCAAAGAATCCAAAGCAAAGATTCTGTCTCTGCAACTACATACAAAGCTAGAGCACAGAATTCGTGTTTTTCCAGACAGAAAGTTTTGGATAGAAATATGTTCCCAGGCCCTGCACAGATGGCCAGTTCATGAGCAGAAACCCCAGCACGTTAGGACTCTGCTATGTGCTCCAGGTGGCAGCTCCGACTGCACTGCCTGACGTCTGGCAATTCTGAATAAATGGCCAGATTCCTATTTTTTTACCTGGGCACCATTTATAGAAAGCAGAACACATCCATAGGAACCTGCCTGGACTGCGAATAATCTACCAAAGTGTGTGCATTTAAAGCCTAAAATGCAGAGCTGTTGTCTTTTGTAGAACTTGCAGGGATAAATCACTGACATAGTTGTATACGCCTTCAAAAAAATCCACAAGAACTTTGGAAGGAAGAGTTACTGCAAATAACATTTCATCCTTGAGGTCTTGACTTAAAAACTTGCGTTGAACAGATAGGATGCAATGTCTAGGCAACAGTTTGCATACACATTGCCATAAATACAGTGTTCATGTCTGAGCTGCAGAGAGGATGTTAAAGTAACAAACAAACCTGTAAATAGTCCTTTTCTAACAGTAAAAATTAATGGTAGAATACATGATGCTTATTCTTAAAAGTTTGCTGTGTCTGACTCCAGCCTCATTGAGATTTAGAGCAATCTTTAATGACAACAATAGGAAAATAAAAATGGGTCCATTCAATAAAACAAGTATGTACTGGCTGGACAGAGCAGAAATTTGCCCTTTGGGTGGTATCTGGAGCATCATTATTTTTAATTGGTCCTCTAAGGAAATTGAGGCAGTCTAAAGGCAATGATTTTCCAGTATTATTTTAATCTATTGCATTTTAAACTCTAGAGACTGGTTGAACTGATGGAATGGAAGACCTCACCTCAACCCCGCTGCCCCCATGAGATGGAAGTTAATAAGGGTTGCTCTGTGTTAGGAGCCCATTTGTGGGACCCAGACCTGCTGCCTGTAGCTAGCTGGTTTTATCTGTGAAAGGGTTCAATGTTCAGTCCTGATTTAATCCTTTTTTTGAAGAGTTGCTGTGGAATCAAGATTTTAATCTTTGACAGGTCTGTACACCCGCCGTGCTAAAGCTGCAGTGCTGAAGATGTCTGCAGTGCCATCTAACGGCTACAACCAGCCCGAGCAGCTTTTTACCTTTTTTTCTTCAATTTTTTTTCCCCCCACAGCATTCTCTCCTCATTTCTGTGGAGAATTTCCAGTTCTGCCTAGTTCTTCCAGAACTGGAGAATTTCCAGTTCTCTGGAAATTTCCTCTGTCATGAATAGTAGCAACAGGGCAAGAGCTCCCTGACAATTTCTGTCCTAGAAGGGAGTTGTTCTTATATGGAAAATCTTCCCCAGCACACAGAAAATGCCTTACAGGGCTACCTAGAGCCTGCTTCAAATACTACACTTTGTATGTCCCCAGCTGTAGGACCCTGTGTCCTGTGCAAGATTTATGCTAAACCATCTGTGACAGTTCACAAAACAGAACTCCTCAAACCATTCTCCCAACATGTGCCACGATGGATTTTACACTTAGTAAAAAGAAGGAGGCTTTAGACTTAAACCTATCTCCTTTGCTGTTCAGGAATGGATTTTATTCTTTGGACCTGATCCATCCAGTTCCTTGGATTACCTTGTAAATTCCTAACTATTGCAGGGTAGAGGGATGATGGCTGCATCTGAGACCTTTCCTTTTCTCTCTGTTCCATTACTATTTTTAAGGAGTTCGGTCATTTGTGACCAAAGTCAAGTTTATTACAGTGTATGAGGAGTTTTAGGGTTTTCTGTCTGAGTGGCTGTACATGAAAGAAAATCTAGATATGTACAAGGATGTGAAATTACACCTAGTGACTCAAATGACCCTTCTAGGATGCAAAGTCCCTTGAAATGCAGCATGATGAATGGATTTCCTGGCTCATAACAGGGAGCCACAGTAATGCTCTTGGCCTTGGAGCCTGAATGACTGTTCCTAAGGATTTCAGTAAGATATCACATTTGAGTGGTTTTATTCCAAAGTACATTTATTTTTATCTTGTGTGTCAGATGCTAATTATTTTAGCATATATATTATTAGGTGTTTGAAACATTTGGATGTCCTGTTGAGTTTTACTTTTATTGCTATAAATGCATCTTACATGAAGAAGATATTGGTCTTGGCTGCAAATATGAGGCGCTGGTGGTAAATTTCTCTTTTTTTTTAATTTGTCCTCACTGTAGGATTTGCTCTCCTTGGAGGACATCCTTCCTTCTTTACAACACAAGACATACATCTGGGCACTAATGAGAGTCTCACAGATACAGTGAGGTTGGTAAAATGCTACTTGATTGATCATTATGTATTCGGTAATTGATTGGGCCGAAACCTATCTTACAGAATTTTGGAAGTTAATATTTTCTTTATGAAAATGTCAGAAGGCAGTCCAAATTTCTTAAATATTTACAGCTCAGCTCAAAGAATCTACAGTTCAGTACACCATTATGCCATCCACTCTAACTGTCCATTGTCACAATGAGAAATATTTTGGCATACAGAGTGTTTAATCAGGGTTGCATTTAAAAATAGAAACATTTTATGAACCTCAGTAGTAACACTCCAGTGATGACAGCACATATACTCAAGCAAGACTCAAACCTTCTGGTTCTGCTGCTCATGGAGCAAAATTGAAGAGAAAAAGCATTATTTCTGTTAGTTGGGCCAGCTGCTGGTGGGCCTAAGCCTGCCATTATAGCCTACGTACAGTGACAGGGTGGCCATGAAGGCCATTCTGATTCCCCTGTTTCAGCAGCATCAAATTTGAACAACACTTAGCAGCTAGTTTCTGATTTTGTGTACCCTCTTCCACAATTGTACCCACTGTCAGGACTGCTGTGGAGGCTGTGCTATGGCTTTATTGTCTTACTGACATCCTTGGAAGGTCTTGATCATGCCCAGTCCCACAGGCATGCAGGAACGGGTAACAGCCTATCTCCTTTGCTGTAGAAGGGAAGAACTGAGCTCAGGATGTTTCTCCAGTGGATTGCCTCCGATGTTGCAGAAAGCAAACAAAACATGAGGTTGTGTTTTGCTAGAAAGCATTGTCCTGCTTTCTAGGCAGCCCTTTTGCAAACTGAGGTCGATTCAGTCAGGCTCATCTGTTGGAAGGTTAGTAGTGTCTGAACAGTCCCTTTAATTCTGGTGAAAGATATGCAGTGTCAAACTCATCAGGCTTAATTCAAAATATGCAATCAGGAAGCTGAGTTCCATTGCCTCTGCTGAATACCACAGTTTTCAGTCAGTTGGAGAGATTGTTTGAGAACTATGTTACTGTTCTCTGTGATGAAATTCAAGAAAATTTAAGAAAAAAGATAAACATTTAAATATTTAAAATTTTTCTTTCTTGTTTTTAAGTACTGAAGTTGAAGACTTACGAGTGTTTTTAGTAGAAATTAAAAATTTCAGTCCCTTGAAACTTGAAAGTACTTAACTCTCACTCCCTGCTATATACATAACTGCCAGTATCAAAGTAAGCTGCAATGATAGAATCACAGAATGGTTTGGGTTGGTAGGGACCTTAATGATCATCTACTTCCAAAGCCCCTGCCATGGGCAGGGTCACCTTCAACTAGATCAGGTTGCTAAGAGCTCCATCCAACCTAGCCTTGAACACTTCCAGGGATGGGGCATCCACAACTTCTCTGGACAATCTGTGCCAGTGCCTCACCACCCTTACAGTAAATAATTTTTTCCTAATGTAAAATCTAAACCTACTCTTTTAGTTTGGATCCATTCACTACACGTTCTTGTAAATAGTCCCTCTCCATCTTTCCTGTGGGCTCCCTTCACGTACTGAAAGGCCACAATTAGGTCATTCCAAAGCCTTCCCTTCTCCAGGCTCAACAATCCCAATCCTCTTAGCCTTTCCTCATAGGAGAAGTGCTCCATCCTTCTAATCATCTTCGTGGTCTCCTCTGGGTTTGCTCCAGTAAGTCAATATCGATAGTGTTCAGGTGTTTCAACAAAAGCCTGGTTTTAGTAAGTACAAGTTTAAGAGATTCAAAAATTGTGTAAATTTGTGGGCCTGCAAAGGGAACAGATTTTTCTGATGCTTAACAGTCAAGTCTGAGGTACATTAGGTCACTGTGTCCAGTTCAGAAGAGCTCATACACTGCCACAGGATTCAAATACATTCCTTCAAAAGAAATAGTCCTAGTTTAAGCAGGACAATTCTGATACACAAACACTTTAACAGGTCAGTTTTCAATTCTTCTTCACAAATGGGATAATAAAGGCACACAAAATCTTTCATTCACAGTCTCCTGAATGACCTTTTTTTACACAAGCAAAAGGGAAAAAGGCAGACAGTAAGCTACGAGAGAAACAAGGCAATAAATAGAAGCAAGCAAATCTTTCAACCATTCTGAAGGTGTCCCCATTCTGTGGAGAAAGTTCCCACAATACTCACTTCCCATGCAAGCCTTCAGCCCCCTTTTCTTTGTCACTGCTTGCTCTTCCAGAAATAAATCCCTATCTATGATTCTGACCTGGGTATTTTGCTCCTCTGCTGAGTCACAGCACTCCCCTGCTACAGCAGATTGGGGGCTTTCCCAAGTCCTTACAGAGTCCTAATTCATTCCTGTGTGCTCTGCTTCATTCCTGCTCTCATTAGCAAGAGTATTATTGACTTTGCATAATCAAGGCTGAGCAGTTTACCCAAAAGAACAACCTGAGTGTTAATTCCCTGGCATTTCTTGAGAATGAAAGATAACATCCCAACCTCCTTCAGTTAATGTAAGAATAAAAAAAAAGAATGCCTGTAGTAGACCCAGAGGGCATTTCAAATATTTACAGCCATGTGTCTAGGGCTCTGAAGGCCTTAGAAGTACTTGAGATTGAGACTTAAAGCAAAAGGAGAACAGGTCTATAAAAGTCACAGTTTTTATTAGAGTTGCTGTAGGTAGGGGTTGAAAGCATTGCTGCTGTGAACGTATTTTAAGACTTATTACCTGCTCATAAATCAGTTGTTCCATGTTTCACAAGACATTTACATTTATGCTGACACAGTAGCAAAAAGTTACCGCCCATTAAGGAGCTCTCAGCCTTTCAGATCTGTTTAGCATGTCTGATATATTACGTGAAATGAAATATAAGTCCTGTATCTGTATCTGCTACTGTAGAGCAGTTCCACTGTGCACCAGCAAAGCCCAGGGGCCATTGGGTTCAGTGACAGCACTGAAGAACTCATAGAATGATTTTAGCAGTCCACTGGAATTATTAGGGGATGAATCTCTGCGTTTATGGGGAATGGGTCTACTTCTCACTGCTTGCTGAAAGCACATCCACCCTATGGCCCTGTAAGACTATGAGTGACAGTGAAGTAGTCAGAAGTCTAAAGCTTTTAAATGGATATACATTTTCCAAATAAAAGCAAAACTGTCTTAAATAGCAGTATTCTATGCAAAATATATGTAAATGCCTCATTTTCAAATGCAAAGATCTGCCAAACCAAACAGGCATACTTTTTGTTTAATTTAGGATTCCTCAGAGGATACACTTAAGAAAAAAAAAAAAAAATCTAATTTTTCTCTGTAGAAATAAAAGTTACTTTGAAAAGAGAGATATGCAGCATTCCAATACACTCAATATTCCAATACAATATATTTCCAGGCTCTGGGATTTTGAAGTTCATAGTCTCACAGTCTTACAAAAAGAATGAAAAGAGAGAAAGACCCTCTAGTTAAGATAAAATAAGAACCTTAAATGTAAAGACACCTAATGATTCTGTGCTTACTCCCTCTCACCTTCCAAAACTTCATCTTTACTAAAGACTCTTATCTATTCAGATCCTTTTCTCCATGCAATTCCAGACTTACATGATTTGCTTTAAACTGATTTGATTACAGAAGACTTCATCATTCTCCTGTAATCAGAGACCTCCAGGTGAAGTCTATTTGTTTTGGTTTTTTTTCCCCCTGAATGTAATTTTGTTTTGATTTCACAAAGAATAAACCCAGTTTCCACCTGGGTTTCCTACTATAAGATGTGACATCTAGAAATGCTGGCAGAAGGACTGTTTGATATCTTCCTGGTAAGTGTGTAACAGGTCTAGTATCTGCTTTTAGCAGATAAAGGGTGAAAATCTAGCACTTTACACTATTTGGTGATTATGACTGAATTTCCTCTAATGGCAGACCTTGCAAAGGAACCATCTTTAAATTCTTTATCAATTGTGTCAAATAGGAATCAGCTGTCCTGACAGCCTAAAAAAAAAAAAAAAAAGTCTAAGGAAAATGGGCAATTTCCCAATGTGATTGCCTCTTTTTGTTGGCTGATTGAACTGGCTCTCTTGTTTAGGGTGGACACATGTGAGAAGGAAGCATGCATCCCATCCCTGATGACTAGTTCAGAACAGAACAGGTTTTGCACAGAGAAGGGAACTCATGAGCTAAGAAGAAATAATGGCACAAACAGCAACTGTTGCAGTACACTGTAATCAGTAAATACCTTGCTCAGTTTTGACTTTCCTTTTCACTTTAGCTGCTATTGGCAGCCTTTTCTTCAGAGAGAGCTCTACAGGCAGTCTTGTAACATTTTATGAGTTTTGATTGTGTGAGCAATATCTGGTGTCAATAGAAAATGTTTGTTACTGACTTCATCAGGACACCTCACTGATCACAGCATTAACAGCCTTATATCCACGTGAAGAGATACGAGAATTCTTCATGGCTGATCAGGAGGACAGACACTGCAAGGATTTTTTTCATGCTCTTCTAATTCAGTCTCTTCTATGTTTTGTTTCAATGTCATATTATAGATAACATGAAAACACAAAAAATGCTACTTCAAAGTCAGGCTTCAGGGCCTGATTAAAACACAGAAATGCAGGGAAATGAAGAGCTCCAATCCATATTTAATTTATCTAAAGAATTCAGAGTGTACTGTGCTAATCCACTATGCTAATCTCTGTCTTTCACACTTTGGCAAATGAGGTTAAGGGCATAGCCTGCCCCTGTCCTTATACTGAGTTTCAAATTTGGGCATTATATTAATGTTGATACTATGTGTGTCAATACAAAGGTCTGCAGGTAGGAGAAAGAAAAGGCTGGTGTTTTGGCCTGTTGTTTCTGTGTTAATTGAGATCAGTAAATAAGTGTGGCAGTCTGTGATAGATCTATATTCTAATCCTCAAAAAGGTCAGACTACCATGCATAGTCTGTAGTATTCAGTCAGTCCTACATTTGCTTTTTGCTAAAGGACTGCAGAAATCTTACACTTTATCTCTTTTGAAGTTATCAAATTCTTCAAAAGTTACAGTTCACAAAATCTCTTGTCTTAGTTCAGATAGCTCAACATGTATTGATATTACATCTACAATCAAACCCCAAAGAGAAGAAAAGAATAAAATACTGCAACAGTTTTCATTTACTTACTATAGTGTGTTAATAACTGAAACTGCTTACTTTTTAGCAGCTTGTTAAATGACTACATTTGAGTCTGTTCTGCAGGCATGATAAATTATTCAGATAGCTGAAAAATATTGATTCATTACCATTTTCATTAATATTCATGTGTTGCATGCTGAAGAGTGCAACAGGGCTATATTTATTATGTTTGAGTATTTTCTGCTATCTCCAGGGTGCTGTCCAGCATGACAAATGCAGTCTTGGCTCGAGTTTATAAGCATAATGATCTGGACCTAATGGCAAAAGAATCCACGATCCCAATAATCAATGGACTGTCTGATTTATATCACCCTCTCCAGATTTTAGCTGATTACCTAACCCTTCAGGTAAAAATATAACCAATTTTTATTTTTTTTTCTTGCTAAGTCTTAGCCTTGGTAAGTATTTGGGGAAGTCAGGTTCAAAAACATTTATTCCCAGGTTTTTCTAAGTGGTAATTGCATGGCACTTGTTATTTAAAGAAATCTTCATCCAGCAATATAATTAAGGACCTGTTTAGTTTAAAATAATTATGTAGTCCTATCAGCTGTAGTGGAAGTAAAGTTAAGCATAAAATTAATTATTTCATTGGAATTAGGTTGTAATTCCACATACACAAAAAATGTGCGGGGAGCTTTACATATTAAGATAAAGGTGAGAAGCTGGCTTAGCCAAAGCCAGTGGAAGTTTTTCCACTGACCTAAAAAACCTCACTAGTTCATTCTTGATTCCTCACTAATCTATGAACAGTTTAAAAAGAAACAGTATCCATATATTAGGAGATTGGTTGAACAAATTTGTTTTGAAAAGTCAGTTATTGCTACCAATGCAAAATCTTAGTGTTCTGGCACTTGAACCAATTTAAACTTTGTTCACATCAAAGAGCTGTTAAAAAAGATTGTATTTTGTAGTTTTATCTAATGCAATAGTTGGTTTGACAGCAGGATAACATTTTGCATATAGAATACCAGATGTTTATCTGTGAACAGAAGGACTATGTGGTTTTACAATCAGTTGAGAATCTGGCTTATAAAAAAGATTATTATTATTATACTGCAGTGTTGGTTGACAACTATGATGAACTCCTCTGACCTTGTTTACTTTCTGAATGAATAAAAATCACACTGCTTGAAAATGGGAGGGTAGAATAATTTCTTGATTTATTTGGCTGTGTTTCTCAGCTGTCGAAGACTTTGCTATGGGACATTCATTAAGTGGGAAAGATCTGGTGAGAGTAATATTAAATTATTTATGCTTTAAACTTTAAATACTGAAAGACTCGTGTGTTTAGTGAAAATTGCTTTTTTCTAATTTTAATTATCATTATTTTTTGTAAAATTTTAATACTCAAGGTGAAGAGGCCAGCAAAAATTGGTAAGCTTCAGACTAAGATGCTTCTCATGCCCCAGGATAAGGGAGATTTGTGAGATCACATTGAACCAGACTCAGTGTTGAAATTACATAACACAATAAGTTGTGATGAGAATGTCATAATTTCATTCTAAACACTGTGTGCAACTGTAAACCAGGAGAATCTTATGGTTCTGTTTTGCAATGTGTTCTGTCTTGCAAACACCTTATTAAGTAGCATTATATCACTTGTGAATAACAAGCTTCAGGAATAATCTGTGACTCACAGACTACACAAATATGGGTATCTCTGTCCCCAAACCTGGTTTTATCCAGGCCAGTGATTACAGCACCCATGTTCAGAGCACTGTTGTCCTCTACTCCATCTCTAGTCAATGAAGAGAGACCACTGAGCATCTCAATCAGCTTCTAGAGATGCAGCTCTTTTCCCACTGATCTTAGAGGGAAACCTATGGAGAGCAGCAGAATGAGTACATGCCCTGTACTCACCCTCTGCTCCTCCTCCATTGTGTCCTTGTATGGGGCAGCCATGGGGGAAGCTCCAAGTGAACATGAACCTGCAAGCTGGACTCTTCCTTGGTTTGAATACCTGGGTAGCAGCAACAGCAGGTGCACAGCCCTGGGACAGCCATGGAACTTTTTTTCAAATTTGCAGCACTTTCACAGTCAGCCTGATAAGCAGAGCAGTGTTTCCTCTGCCCATTTCTCCCTGATTCTCTCCACCATGTTCCTCAGCCCAGAGTTTTTCAGGAGGTCTTTAGAGGGCAACTGGGTGGCTGCCCCACTTTGCCAAGGGCATGCTACTCTGCTGGTTGCTGACACACTTTCCATTCTTGTTTTTAAGAGGAGAGAGGGCTAAGCAGGGGAAGGTCTCAGTAGCTCGGTGTGTGTGTTGGCACTGCCTGTGCTTTCCCTTCCTGACCTGCTGGTCTCCTCCCTGTTTTCCTCCTTCCACTGTACAGCAAGGTGGAAAAGACTGGTCTTACAGTCAGTGGCATGTACTAAACCAGCATTTTAATCATATGAGGAACTTTACTAGGTCACAGAAGTAAGATTAACACTTGAAGAGATGTGAACCATAGGGTCTAGTTGCTACTTTCCACTATCGAACTTCTTGTGGGATTTTCAGCAAGATGTTATCCAAGTACTGCCTGCAAGAAGATTAATACAGGGATGTGGAATAGTCCCACTGCTTCTCTAAGTGAGTTGGAAGTCCATATTTAACACTTGGACTGCTTTCCTGCAATGCAAAGGCAATTTATTTGATTTATACATGACAATAGGGGCACAGACTGGTAGCTCTATATTTAAATGTAATTACAGATTTTGTACAGCTTATTTCTCTTAAACAAATGTCTCTTCCTAATCCCTGTAAATATTTTCCTGCTCCTCCCTGCTGTCACTAAATAACCAAAATGTACTTTTTTTTCTTTTCTTTTTGTTTCTGGTGCATATGCCAGTGGAACAGTACATACACTCTGGCCCTCTTCGTGCTTAGCACATTTTTATTCTTCCATTTTCTATACCGTTACACCTGTCTTGTGCCTTCTTGAATCCTCTTCAAGTGCTTTCTCTTTGGTCTGAAACTACATAATTGCCTGGTTTTTTGTGTCAAAACATTTTCTTGCTTCCAGCTTCTGATTCCCTTTTCATAAGTGCATTTTAGTGTGGTTATTTTAGTATAGTCCACTGCATTCCCCAAACAATGCAACTGCTTTATTTACAGGGCTGTCAATTCTCATTCTGTATTCAGGGTGTTCTTTTCAGATCGTAGAGTGTGCTCCTGTCATGAATACTGGGTGAGATTGCTCAGTGCCTTCCTCCTGAGCAACCTGGAGCCCCTCACATGTTTGATTTATAATCTGGCTCTGCCCTTTAATACTGTGGTCTGGGTTAAAACCCTCTATTATGCCAAGAGAAATGTTTTTCTTAGCTATATACTACCTTTTTTTCTTAAAAGTTCTGTTAAATTGAGTCTGCTTTTGAGTCAAATCCCATTAAAAATGGCTGTAAACATGTAAACAACATCATTTTGAGTGTTTGGGGACTTGGCCTTTAAAGGCTATGAGTTTGTGTGCTGGTAGTGTGCACACAGTGAGGACTTTACTTCTCTGCTTGCGCTGAAGACACGTAACAGCCACGTGCTGATTCCACCCAGTGTCCTAAGCAGAAGCTGTGGCTCACAACTTCTGCTCTGCTCAGCTTGGCTGGAGGGCAGCATCACACAATTTGTATTCCAGACACAGGCTCTGTATTGACATCGATTCAATTGATATTAATGTCACTGGCCAAATCAGCTAACTTGTAGCTGACTGCAGGATGGCCAGACTGATAATTAAAGTGGATCCATATGCCACTACCTTTTTATGTCACTGGTCTGGAGGGAATTTGCTTTTTCAGAAAGCAATGGTTGGCATAAGAAATGCATCAGAGCTTTCTTTTTAAACAGCATAACACAATGGTGATACCCAGCTTAAAGAGAGCTGCCATATATTCTCAACTTCTCCTCAACGTGTGACCCAAAGACCTCAAATTACTATAGTCTTTAAATTCATCACCATCATCATCATTATTATTCTAAAAATTAGAAATCCCAACTAAGATTTGGAATGACCCTCTAGTATATACTGTTTCAACAACCATGACAAAAAACAGTGTGGGAATATGAAAGATAACTGGCCTAGCATCTGCCTTAAGCAGTTTGACAGCCAGTAGATTCAAGTTTGCCCAGTTTCTCCTTTGCTGGATTGCACTGTATGCCAAAGGGCTAAAGCTTTGATTAGTCCCTAGCTTTCCATTTTAAAATTTGACAGATTATTGATTCATTATTCAAAAGCTTGTTTTAATTGAGGGCTGTTATGACAGTTGTGGTCAAACATTTCAGAATTAATCTATAATGGTGTCAGGGTTTCAGCCTCACTGGAAGCAAGTCCAGGCAGAGGCAGACACAAATGTCCCTAATTAGTTAACCCAGTCTTCTCCATAAATACAGCAGTGCCAAAACACTGAGCATGCTTACTTTTTCCCAGGGTTCAATACACTGATACACTGCACCCATGGATAAGAACAGAATGAAACATTGTAAAAACAACATGAGAATGAGAAAGTTGAATGTAAAATCAGCATTAATTTTTTAGCAGGGATTTTTCATGAGAATAGCAAAGCCATGTTTTATGGCACTTAAGCAGCAATCACTATTTGGCCAAAGAAGCATCCATAAGGGAGAAGAACTCTAGGCTTTCTAAATATGTTAAAGTTTTTGTGGCTTTACAAGGAGTGTAAATATTTTGAAGTCATGTTCCAAATATAAAGAGAAACTGCAGAACACCCAAGCAGGTATGAAGCCTACATGAACATAACAGAGTTTGGAAAAATTGGGAAGGGGTGCAAGGGGGAAAATATCTTCAGAGGCTTTGGTGAGCAGCAGGTGTTGTAAAGGTTCTGATTTAACCTAGAGTGTTACCACCATGGCAAAACACTTTTAGCAGGATTTTATCTGTGTGGTTTTATAAGAACATACCATAAAATGGGGGGGGGGGGGGGGGGGGGGGGTGAAGTATGTCTCATACAGTTTTTTTATTGCCTCAAAGCATTCTGTTTCTGACCAACACAGTTATCTCATCTTTCATGTAATCTGAGGATGAGTGCATATAAGCAGTACAGTCACAGTCACAGTGAGCTTCTCTTAGATAAAGAGGTTTGAGTTACAGCAGCAGTGCAGCAGGGCACAAAGCACAGGATATAAAATAGGCTCCACTAGCACACACACAGCTTGACTCTGCCTTATGTGTGGCTCCAGCCATTAGCAAAACATCTTCATTAAGATCAGTTCAGCTATGTCCACTCTACACAGTAATCACTGCAGATGTGACTTTGCAATTTGCAATGTATATCAAGGATCATTATACAGACATCTCCAGTACTTCATATTTTATCTGTAACAGCTAGTAGCTTGGGAAAACAGAGAAAAGTATTTAGCATGCACTGTGCTTCTTTTAATGCAGAGTAGCAGCTGGCAATAAGGTGGAAGTTGTTTAACATAGCAGTATATTTGTGACACTAGTCAATGCTTTGAGCATTACAGGCTGTGATGTCTATTTTTAAACAGTAAGATGAAAAGAACTCAGGACTGTCTCATTTGCTCCTGGCTGTGGGTTCATTCTCAGCTATCACTGAGCCCTAAATTGAAACAACACCTTAAATAAATGCTTTGGTTTGACCTTCTCCTAGGAGTACCATTGCTAGGAGATGTGGAAGGACTTTGAAAGATCCTTAGAGACATGAAGAACCATTATACTGAAATAACTTCCATGTTCACAAAGTCCTGATTTGGTCTTCTGTAAGTGCCCTTGCATCAAACCTTTGCCAATGAGTCTGCTGCTAACAAACTTCTACTGAAAAAGTGATAGTTTTACAATACTGTAGTTTTAACCCTTAAACCTAGTCAGCTTAAGACTCTACTAGGTTTAGATTTTTACAGTGTTTTAGTATAATTCGGTATCTCAAGTACTAACATTTTTGATTCAAAATTGTGGTCCCTGGCAGAAATGCCAAGAACTTTGTTCTGGATTGACTTCACAACTATTTGTTTAGGAGAAGCTGCTGCCAGGAGAGGAGGGGGTAGTCCCCGCCCTCTTCCTGTTCAGTCTTTTGGCATCTTTTCTGCAACTCCTGCAAGGTTGCCAGTTAGTACAGCTCTACAGTGTGGATGCTTATCCTCTCTGACAAGCATTGAATCATGTCACACAAAGTGTTGAAACACTGTCTGGCTTCCAGCTACTACAATGCAATTGTAGCACGGCCCAGTTTTGAACTAAGAATAAAAGGCTCTCCAGAAAGTCCTTCAAGCCATGAGGTAGAGTTATACAGAGCAGCCATATAGAAGTACTTGATTATACATATAGAAGTACTTGATTATATCTTCACAAACTTTTTGATATCAACTTAAGAACCTATAAACACGCATACTTAAAACAAAGCTTGTTAAAGACTCTCGAATTGTCCTGCTCTGGAACACGAAACTCCTGTTATTCTTGTTCCTCCTTAGGCCTTACCTGTTGGACTTGAGGGTCAGAGTAACTGCACATGAACAGGCTGTAATGGCCATCAGGCAAAGCTATAGTTAACTCTGTTTCAAGTTTGGGCAATCCACACTTATAAACAAAACCCTGCCCTCTTTGACTGTAGACTGGAGAATAAATGCTGCAGGCCATGAGTGGCACAGCTGCTTTCAGAGTGCTGCTCTTTTCTATCCTGTGCAGCTGTGATGGTGAAAATGCACTCCAAGGGCAAGGCCACTGCCATGGCCAAGGGGAATATTGTATAGAAACAACCAAGCCAGAGCAAACCTGAATAGAGGTATTTGTACAGTCTGGGGAAAAGCTGGAAGGAGTTCTATTCTAGGCATTAGGACTGTCTTTAAATTAGGAATGTCTACCACTCACTGATGTTTATTAGCACCAAAAATGGCAGTACAGCTTTGGTGTTAAAGTTACTGCCTGTGTGGTGCTGTATCTCTCAACCTGGGCCTCATCATATGGCATATGTGCCAACATGCCACAGAATTACAGAATATGCCAAGCTGGAAGGGATCCAAAAGAGTCACTGAGTCCAACTCCTGGCCCTGTAAAGGACCATCCCCAAGAGTCACACCACAAGCCTGAGAGGATCATCCAAACACTTCTTGAACTCTGTCAGACTGGGTGCTGTGATCACTGCCCTGGGGAGCCTGTTCCAGCCCCCAGTACTGGAGGAAGCTGCCACATTTGGGCCTTCCTGTAAGACATGGGGGGCTTTCCCTCCCTGACCATCCTGTAGGTGCAGTAAACTCCAGGTATTGTTCCATGCAGGTAGCATTTGGAGGTAGCCAGCTGCTTTTGCACCAGACCTGTCTGATCAATCCCTCTCACCCATCGTCTTGCTGAGCTCATCTGGAACATAATCCCAGAGCTTTTGATTCCTTTGACAGGAGCACTATGGTGGGCTGAATGGACTTACTATCACCTGGATTGGGGATGGAAACAATGTCCTCCACTCCATCATGACAAGTGCTGCAAAGCTGGGAATGCACCTGCGTATTGCCACTCCCAAGGTAAGGAAGTCCTGCACATGGAGGCAGGAAGGCAAACTTTGCCCATTCTTGTCTCGGCCACTCAGGTGTTTGCCAAGAGCCTCAGCTGGTGATACTTGCACATGTTTTGAGTGCCAGTTTTCAGAACCAAGGTTCAAAATCCTGATCCAGTTATTTTGATGAAAAGCAGGAGTAGTTCTACCAAGTCCAACTTCAGAAAGGCTGAGGGGAATTCGTGACAGCAGCATAAACAATGATGAATGAAAATTCCATTTGATAAAGTGTTACAAAGTCATCCAGTGCCCTCTGTCCTCCCCCAGAAAATTGAAACTTGTTTCAGATTGATGGAAGTGTTGCATCTTGCTTGGTTCAGATGGATGGTGTAGTGTCTTAGTCATCATGGCTGGGCTTCGCGAAGGAAGATTTGGGAAGGCTCTATCCACATTTGCTACAGGCACGCTGGTGGCTTATGAGGCCAATACGTGACAGACATATCCGATTGCAGAAGGCACAACAGAAAGACTTCTTAGATGCTATATTCTGAAAGACACGGTTCTTTCTGCGTTGCCTTTTCTCCTCGAGAATGATCCTGCGTGTGTTCTCAAAGGAGACAGCTGCGTTATAGATGGTGTGTCTCCAGGCCTCCGGATTGGAGGCCAGAGTAGACCAGTTATGGTGATCAAGATGTCCGAGGCTGAGATGTTGTTTCAGGAAGTCCTTGTATCTTTTCTTTGGGGCTCCTCTCATGTGGCAGCCAATGGCAAGTTCACTATAAAGCAAGATCTTAGGGAGGCGGTGATTGGTCCTTCATCCTGGAGACGTGCCCTGCCCATCGCAGCTGTGTTCTCAGCAACATGGCCTCAATACTTGTGACTGCTGCTTGTTCTAAAACAGATGCGTTGGTCACAAAATCTGACCAGTGGATGTTTAGGATTGTACGGAAGCAGCGTTGATGGAAGAGTTCTAGGAGACGCAGGTGGTGGTGGTAGATGACCCATGATTCGGAACCGTATAAGAGAGTAGACAGTACTATGGCTCTGTAAACACTGATCTTGGTGCTTTTCTTCAAGTGTTTATTACGCCATACTCTTTTGTGGAGTTTTCCAAAAGCTCTATATGCCTTCGCTAACCTGTTGTCTATCTCTCCGTCGATCTTACCATCTGAGGAGATGAGGCTACCAAGGTAATTAAACTGTTGGACTGATTTGAGCTCTGATTGGCCAATGGTGATGTGGGGATGATGGAAGGCTTCCTGAGGTGCAGGTTGATGGAGGACCTCTGTCTTCTTTAAGCTGACTTCCAGCCCAAAGAACTCAGCAGCGTCTGCAAAGCAGGATGTTAAATGCTGCAGAGCTGCTTCTGTGTGGGCAACAAGGGTGGAGTCATCAGCATAGAGCAGCTCCCGGACAAGGTAGTTTAATGTCTTGGTGTGGACCTTCAGGTGCCTTAGATTGAATAGACTTCCATCAGTACGGTATCGAATGTAGATACCGACCTGATCATCGAGGTCTACCGTGGCCCTTTGGAGCATCGTGCTAAAGAAGACTGTGAATAGGGTAGGAGCAAGAACGCAGCCTTGTTTCTCACCATTCTTAATTAAAAAGGGCTCAGAAAATGTGTTACCATATCTGACTTGGCCGTGCTGATCCTCGTGGAGTGAGATGATCATTTTAAGAAACTTGAGGGGACAACCTAAACGTTCCAAAATCTGCCACAGACCTTTTCTGCTCACAGTATCAAAAGCCTTGGTGAGGTCGACAAAGGTTACATAAAGACCTTTGTTCTGTTCCCTACACTTCTCTTGCAGTTGTCTGAGGACAAATACCATGTCTGTGGTGCTCCTGTTGGTTCTGAAACGTCTGTGGTACTCCTGTACTCTGAAAGTGTCTTAGAGTATTGCATTGTAATACAATATAAAGCACAAAACAAATATTCAGTTTAGTACAAAAAATTAAATGATGTATAGGTATTTCATTCTGTAACTAGTAAAATACGTTATTCTTACCTTATCAGAACACTTTCCACCACTTTACCTCCAAAATAAACTTTCAACAAAACCAACATAATTTCCCCATGTTTTACAGTTCTGAAATACATTCTTCTTCCCATGGCAAATGGTTCAATCAGTATTTTTCTAACCAGCATTAATAAGCAGTAAAGATCTTATACATGTTCCATGGTATGTTACCTGTTATCTCTTTTGGCAGGGCTTTGAACCAGACCTCAGAATAACTAAAATAACTGAACAATACTCTGAAGAGGTAGGAGCCTAAAAAATAGCCTAGTAGAATCATTTGAATAGAGTTTATTTTCATTATAAATTAAGTTCCTTGTCTTGCTGATCTTCTTTATTTTATTCACATTAGTATGGTACCAAGTTACTTCTAACAACAGATCCTTTAGAAGCTGCAGAGAGTGCCAACGTCTTAGTTACAGACACATGGATAAGCATGGGACAAGAAGAGGAAAAGAAAGAAAGACTAAAGGCCTTTCAAGGTTATCAAATTACAATGCAGGTAAAAGTTGAGATTTAGTTTATGTTTTTACAGTTTGCGTTTATAAGAATCAACATCAACAAAGAATGAGTTTGGTACTTTTTTGAGTGTGACCTCCCTCCAGCTTAAAAAACTCACAAGGATAACGAAGTTTGAGTTATCTTGTACACTTCACAAGGCCTGGCCTCTTTCAGAGCTTCCCAATGAGACCTAGCTCCAGAACCTGTGCAGCAGAGCTAATCCTTTATTTCTTTATGGCCTAAAAACTGTTTCTAATTTTGCATCTCCTCTTTGTTTCCAGAAACGATCCTTTATATTTTATTTAGAATGAGAAGCTTACAGATTAACTCTTAAACACCTGGATAGCATTAGGGGCAATTTGTCTATATCTGTCAATGAATAAATCATTAAATACATATCTTTAAATTCATCTAGTTGAAATGTTTGTCAGCACAAAATCAGTTAGAGAAAATCATAACCTACTAATCATCCAAGATAAAAAGGACATTTTCCTTCCTGATAAAATTACTTGTTTAAGCGTCTGCACTTTAACATAAGTTCGCTAAATGCTGTTGATGGACATGTCTCTGGCCTAAAATTTAATTCATTTTTCCTTGGCATTAGATCAATATATAATGAGTGATAATATAAAATGAAAAAATATACAACCTTTTAAATCATTGTTTAGTATGTTCTTGTTGCAATTATCGATAGTGTTATATTACTGTATGGCATTCAAAAAAAGATTGCGCTCTATTGATCCTCTAGATCACCAGAGTTTTTACTCCCCTTCTAAAGCCAAAGAAATAAGAGTGAATATCGGACTTATGTCAAGCCTGTATTGAACTCTTACCAACTTGAATGGACATATTCCCATCTTATTCACAAATGAGGAATTCTTTCCAAGTCTGTGGAATTCTTCTTAGTTCATCATCCAAATAACCAGAGTGGGAGTTAATACAAAATTTAACCTTTTTACTTGTTAAAGATTTTATTCATATCCTCACATATGTCTTTATTTTTATATGCTTTTTCATCTACAGACTGCAAAATCTGCTGCTTCCAACTGGACTTTTTTACATTGTTTACCCAGAAAACCTGAAGAAGTTGATGATGAAGTATTTTATTCCCCACAGTCGTTGGTTTTCCAGGAGGCTGAAAACAGAAAATGGACAATTATGGTAAAAACTACTATCAGTAGTTGGAGGGTCAGCTTCTCTTCTACCTTGCATTACAGGCTTAAATTCAGCTTGATTCCTTGATAAATAGTAAATGTTAAAAGATATGTTTCAAATGCACCCCAGAGCACATGACAATTTGGACTATAGGCAACATATATATCTGTGGCACAAATACTTCTGGACACAAATGTGACCTATTTTAATAATGATCTGCTGTTGCTTGACCCAGCTTTTACCACTAAGTGAAATCTACAGTATAAACTGTAATGTTTTGGTATTTAAATCACTGCATTTACTCTAACTGCCAACTCAAATGGTCGATTTTAAAACATGTTAAATGCTGAGGTCCCAGCGACTGGCCTTAGAAACTAGTTTCCCATATACTTAAAAGCTAGTTATTTTCTCTCAGGAAAAACTGCTGCTGACACCAATGGGAACTTTCCCTGAGAAAGTGCTGGAAGAGTATATGTTTGAAAGACCCTGAAAAGTTATAGTGTGGGTAATACTGTATAATCCATGGGAACCATGAGAGGACACTTGGCAATTAACATAAACCATAACTCCCCTGTCAGCATTCCTAGAACTTCATAGAATTACTGCCAGATCTCAGTAGCCTGTTATTTATTTTTGGCTTTAGAACCATCATGTTGACAAAAGATAGTGAAAACTTTCAGAGGGGAAAAAACCCCAGAAATGTCTTTGTCATAGCTCTGAGATGAATTCTAGATATGCTACAAGGGAAGCAATAATGGGTTGAGCACTGTGTTTACTAAAAACTCAGATTTTGGACATGGTTAAAATTACTAGCAAATTAGTGCTAAATTCACATCTTTGGTCTCAAAATTCAACAAAATACTCATATTTTTCATTTTTATTTTACAATGTTTCTAATTGCTTTAAATATTATTTTTTAAAAAAGAAAAAGAAACCTTTACTTTAAGTTCCAGATGCACTTTTTTTGTGGGTCTAAGAAAAATGTCATCTCTGTATTTTTCCCGAGCTATAAAAATAATGAATGTATGGGTCTTCTTTATATTGTATTTTCTACTACTTTCAGCTCAGAGAGCCAACTGAAGAATAAATGATTTGCTTGGCTGTAGATCCAAGCAGGGCTGAGTGCAGCTGTGACGTGGTCAGCACTGAGGGGCTGCACAGCTCTATATTCAGTCACCTCAGTGGGCCTGGGATGCCCCATCACACTGAGTAGTGTTGAAGGGAAAGGCAGGACAAGCAACAAGATCACAATCCCTGGAGAACACTCACAAATCCAGTTCTGGGCCAAAATAACAATCTGCACTCAGTCACTGCTGTGAAATCACAACAGTGTGAACCGGGTAATACCTTGTGGAAGCTAAGCAAGCACAGGGCTTGTTACGTACACAGGTGTGGAATGGGCAGCAGAGCTGCTGCAACACCATGTTTCACTTAGCTGACATTCCCATTACTCTCATTCCACAGCCAAACCCAAGGCTGGGCAGGGAGCTCAGGAGGGGTAGATGACACACAATCAACCTCAGCAAGGATTTTCCATGTCTTGCCACAGAAAGTATAGCTAAACCAGGATAAATTTCAAAGTCCTTATTCTAGTGAGGCTCTCATTGATGCTAATGGAAGCTCTGCTGAAATCCACAAGCAAGCCCATGTGATGTCTGGATACCTACAGCATCTCCTAGAACTAACTGAGAATACAACACAACATGATAAAAAAACTCTCAGCATTTGATCTAAATGCCTGTCTGAATTGCTCCTAACCTGTCCATTAATATATTTTGTGCACACTGAGAAAATCTGTCAGCTACAATACCTAACATCTGAACTGATTTTCAACTCTTTCCTGATTCATCATCAGAAATTCTAGCAAATAAATCTAAGTGTGCAGTTTTTGTCAGGACAATAATTTTCAACACAGGATTTCAGAGCTGGAAAATATTTCCCCTTTTTTATTTTATGGAGTATCTGTTTCCAATGTGATTGGATTTTTTCTTTTCTTCCTCCTCTAGGCTGTCATGGTTTCCCTGCTGACAGATTACTCACCACAGCTACAAAAACCTACATTTTGATGCTTGGATTCCCACCAGGAGAAAAATATTCTTCATTGGCAGAATATTTTGGTCCTCAAATACATAGACCTTCTTCATAAAGGATCAAGGCAATGAATGATATTTGAATAAAACCATATAGTTTGCTGCATAATGTTGCATTACATTTGTGAAAATGTTCAAGACAACAGACACCATTCCAGAAGCTGCTTTTCACCTGGATGCTCCAAGCTTGCTGTCCTAGTGATCAGCATCACGAAAAACATTCCAAGATCGTACCTTAATGATTGGGTCTACCAGCTGCATAGGAATGGCACAGTTTACCTGTAGCTGTGTTTGAACTTGTGTGGTGTGATATGACAGACATAAACTTCTCCCCAAACCTGTGCCTTTCATTGCCTGTTTTGGGAAGTGTGCAGGAGAAGCAGTGCTTCAGTTTGCCTTGGTTGCCTGTGCTTCCTGGGCACCCTGGCTCCTGTTTCTGTCCTCCAGCCAACCTCCAAACCCCACTTCTGTTTGACACCAAAAATACAGAGACCTTGGGAGTATTATCTTCCTCCATGACATTCCTGTGGGCTGGCACAGGGGGATATTGCTGTGGAATTGGAATAGAGCAGCTTCCAGAGCTGGATACAGCAGAGATAGATGGCTGGAAGGAACTGGTTCAATCTTTGCCTATCTGCCCTAGACCCTCATTCCCTAAACAAAACTCTGGCTAAAGAAGCAAATTTTCTATTTCCTTTTTTTTTTTTTCCCTAAGCAGACATGAGGGGCATCACATGATGAAACTTACGCAGCTCCCTTGCAGAAAGAATTTACTGCGTTTTGTCTGGCACTGTAAGACAGTGTACATTTCAGATAATCCTTCTCAGTAATAGACAGATTCATGACATTTGTAGGTTTTGTGATGGCTGGGTATGTGCATTTAATATTTCAGGTAAAGCTTTGAGTACTATTAAAAAACACCTTTCTTTTTTCTAAATAGTTTCAAAAATATGTTGGCTTTTTTCTCACTGTAATACCAGGACAACATCTGTGATATTTCAAAAATTCTGCAAATGGATTTGTGTTTTCTGACCAGCTGCAAAACATTATTTAATTCCTTTCAAAATTAGAGTTCACTGCAGGGCCACACAGATCACTGAAATGAAAAAAAAGATACATTTTTTTTCTATCTATCTATTTACAATTGATTTCTTGGGTTTGCAGGCATTTGTGTTGGTCTTGTTAAGATTAACATTTTCCTTTACAACATTACAAGGGTTTCAATAATTCAGTGAACATTTACACTGCAGCAGGCATCTGGATGCATCAGTGATGTTGGAATAGGGTATGTGCTAGAAATCAATGTTTTGCTTCCCAGTTCAGTATGTGGAGGAAAATGCATAGAATACTGCATATTTCTGGTAGTAGTAGGTTCTGCTTTCTGAATTAGGTTCCAGTTCAGTAAGATACATAAAAGTATGGTTAGTCCTTTTGGAGTTGTTCAAGTGCTTAGAATTGTAGATATCCTTATTGACCTGATTTTAGTGCTGTCTGAGAGTAAGACAACTCACTTTGCTAGTCCTTCCATAAAAAACACATTAATATCGGTTTTATTGTGTTGATTGATGTACTATCAGTGAAGTCAGGCAGATTTATAATAACGAAGCTCTATTGTTAAATGTTTCATGGTGAACAGTTTAACAATCTCCTGCTCCTCTTTTGCTTCCCTGTGCTCTGATTAGAGCTAATGTGGATCTCGGTTATTGATGGCTCTTTTTGTACTTAGGAATCTGAGCAGGATGCCAGACAGCTGAATCCCCTTGACATTTTTATAACACATGCACAGATCTGCTGCATAACACGTGAGCAACAGGGTCCAACATTTCCAGGAGAGTAATTTCATAGGGTTCTATTCCTCTGTGAACATATACAGCAAAGGATGATAGTCCCTGCTTTGTCTTGCACAAACTGCTCACACCATTAGCTGTTCTGATGGTTTTTGGAAGTACTGGGTGGACTTTATGCACATATCCTGAGCACTGGACCACTGTGTGGAAGCAGTGAAACTACAAAGTACTGTACCCCTCTGCATGTGCAACACCCACTTTTCGTGCTATGTACTGGGAGCCAAACACATCCTGGTGGGGCAGATTTACAGAACATGTGCAGACTGTCTGCACAGTCATGCAGAGTAGATCTGACACTTCCTAGAGGTGTTGTGTTGGTACCAAATAGACTTGTACACTCATGCCCCAGAGACCTAGAAATACGGTGCCCTAAAGGGTTTATGTTCTCCCTGTAGGGCCCTTCACTCTCTTGCCACAAAGCAGAACAACACTTCGAGGCTTAATCCACTTGCAAAGGTTAAGCATCCTGGAACTGCTGGGTGGTAGCTGTGTTAGTGTGCAAGGTAACATTATTATGCCATCCAGACTCCTCACGAATTCATTACTTGAATTTGCAAATGATGACTGCAAATGTGGTAAGGGAAACAGCAATAATGTAGAGAGATTTTCTAGAAGGGAAAAACAGTTATCAACATTCAAAGAGCTTAAAACGAATGCATAACAGGTAGCAGCCACTAATGGCTTACTATGTTTTTCATTACATTTGTTATGCTTTAATCAGTAGAAGTGCTGTTTTCATTGCTGAGTGTACTTGAAGGATGGGTGTTGTTTTCTCCATGTTTTTACAGAGTTGCTCCTACCTGGCTCCTGATAGCCTAGACCTTCTTCCCATAAGAGCCCCGCTCTTTTCCTCAGTCTAGAGAACAGACCTGGGTCAGTTCAGTTCTGTCAAGTCTTACCCACATCTGACTCATTTAATAACCCCCTGATCTAATATCGCACCTCACACATCTGCAGCGCTGTGCTCTGGTCCCTCTCCAGGACCATGCGCAGGTGGTGGCAGCTGCCAGCCTAATCCATCCCTTGCTTACAGGCCCAAAGGGTGGACTGACAGTCTCTGCCCTGTCCCTCCTCATTGCAGGGCTGGCTGTGGGCTACTGCTTGTATGGGCACATCCAGACTTGACACACAGGCAGGCACTGTGGCTGTGCTGTGTCCCAAGATGGTATATTCATGCTGACTTTGGTGCCCAAAGCCCAAGTGCAGATCCAAAGGTAGTACTAAATCTGGCGTTGATATGAACAGGATCTGAACCCAACGGAGGCCGTGGTGGGGGACAAAGGCCCAGAGATACTCTACAATGTCACTTAGACAGCTGAGAGTCTTGGGCACATCTGCACAGACCTGGCAGATGACACAGGACTGATGGGGCACTGAGAGCAGAAACTAGTGGACAGCAAGGGCATCCTACAGTGCCCTAAGTCCAGTGCTTTGACCTCTATCCCTCACTATCTTCATGGCCCTTAGAGGATTAGTCCTGTTCTACACCTAAAGAGAGAAATTCAGGATTGCTTATTAGCATTTCACACACTCTGTAAACACTTGTTTTCCAGCTTGTTTCCAGCAGTGTGGGGATTCCTGGGTTACCTGTATGTGATCTTCTAAAACTGATCTAACATTAATTAGAGATTCAGTAGAGAAACAGGTGAAAAATGTTTCTCTATAATTGTCCCATGGAGGAAGACCAACATTCTTTCTCCGTGTGCTACAAAGCTAAGAGCACAGTAACCACAGCAGGTAGGAGGTCTGCAGAAAGAATTTGCAAATAATTAGTGTCTGAGAATATGAGGTACAGTAACTTAGGAAGGACTGAGTGGGGAGCCTGGACAACCAGGAGGGAACAAACGAAAGTGAGAATTCTCAAACATAATTAAATATTTTATTTGAACCCGCTTACATCAAGAATGACACAATGTACAGCAGATTTACTCATTGTCTGGTATCAGAAGCAGTCACTTGTGGAAGTCTCAGATGCTAAAAGAGAGATACAGGAATAACTAAATAACAAGAAAGTACCAAGGTTTGGTTGCTTGAAGTCCTCCAGAACTCTTGAATTAATGTTTACTTCTCATAAGACAGGCTGGTAAGTTAGGCATGATTATCTCACTGCCTTTCAAATTTTATGACAGAGGGAGTAAGAGCTACGTGAAGGTCTGAGCAATGCACCGAGCTGATCATTCAGTTTGGGGAAAGCTTTTATGATTGAATTGAGGTATTTTGAGTTTAGTTCTGTTTTCCAGGAATGTGTAATCCTGGTGGAAAGTCTGAAAAATAGACTGCATTGACAAAGGGAAATATTTCTTCTTTCTTCTGGTTCTCCCATTTCTCAGCTAATCACTTGGTTAATGTATTGAGCAAATAAACAGTGCTCTTTTGATTATTTTGCCATGGCTATTTAGCCAGCTGCCTTTCAAATGCAGAGCCCAGAATTTCTGGGTCTTGCCCAAGGTTATGTTTACAGAGACACTTCATAAGACACAATAAACATTTAATTCAGCCCAGCATTTGCTCTCATGACTAACGGGATACAGCTATTTGCAAGGTTATTTGATTCTTACACAATCTCGTTACCAACTTTTTGAAGAAATCCCAAACCTTTGTGGCCTCTGTAAATGCTTGATGATCCTTTCCATGTGTGTGCGTGTAGAGGTTTTTTCTCTAGGGGCAAGAAATCTGAGGTGACTCCGTTCAGACAACAGATCTTTCACAAACACAGTCAAAGCATTGCCTGCCCCTGCCAAATCCCTTGGAAAGCTCCTTGTGGGCTGCATTATATGTTAGAGGATTAATGAATGCTGCTGCTCTCTAATGGGCCTGTTTTCAGGGGATTGGCACTCGTGTAAAGTAGGCTCCAACACAAGCATGATATATCTAGAAAGAGGGACAAGCACCAAAATTTGCAAACTTTGATGATCAAAGTTTGCTTAGTTGAGCCAAAACTTACTTCCAGCTGTGGGGAACAGCAGTGATAGCTGGAGAAGAGTACTGAAGAGCTGACAGGGCAAATGCAGGTCATAGTGATTTAAGCCCAAAATAATATTAGTTGGAGGAAGAAGTCTAAAGTACTCACAATCACAGAATCATAGAATGGCTTGGGTTGGAAGGCATCTTAAAGATCATCTAGTTCCAATGCCCCTGCCATGGGCAGGGACACCTTCCACTACACCAGGTTCCTCAGAACCCCACACATCCAACCTGGTCTTGAATCTTCTGAGGATGGGGCATCAACAAGTTCTCTGTGAAACTGTTCCAGTGCC